AGCACCAGGGAGTCGGGCAGCAGCTTTGCCTGGCCCCCTGAAATGGGCCGCTCACACCCCGTGCGCAGTGGGCCTCCTGTCAGCCCGCCCCCGATCTGTTTCTTCTAAATTAAGATGCAACAATCATCCTGCAGCGGCTTCTCCCTCCAGCGATCGGTGAAAATGAACTCCAGACGACTGGATTAGACTTTGAAGGTGGCGATCTAGATAATGAACACGGAGGATGCCGTGTTGACACAGGCCCTGGTGAGCGACATGATTATTTAACAGCCTCGCTTCTGCCTCCACCGGGATCAAGGAGCTGAGCGAGCAATTGGTGGGCGTGAAAACGCAAACCAGACCCGGGCACCAGCTCCGCGGGCAATGGGATGAGCAAGGTTGGGGCGCCCGACCGAGCAGGGACCAGCTGGGCAAGGGACAGCATCGGGGCCAAGTGGGGCCTCTGGGGACCTGCTGGGGGAGACAGCACCAGCTGAGAGGCCCTCGCCCCAGGAGGAGGTGGTACACACAGCCTGGACTTGGCCCCTCCTGCTTCCCTCCTCTGGCGACACCCACTGCCCCTCCTCCTCTCCCTGGGTGCCCCCAGACTCAGGCTTGTCTCACTGCACCGGGTGGAGGCTCCAGACAGGACTCCCATCTCCTCACTCTGGCACCGTACGCTGACGGCCCTGGAACACGCTCGTCCACCAGCCCACCATGATGACTCGCTAAGGGGTACTCGCTTTGTGGTCCCCGTGGTCTACACACAGGGAAACCAAGATGCATGAAGGTCATCGCCAGCCCAGAAGCTGTGTAGGTGGGAAAAGCGGGTGGTAAGCACCCAGGGACTCTCCAGTTCCCTCCAAGGGCACAGAGGAAACAGAGGCTGCGCCTTCTGCCTGCTGGGGCGGCCAGCCCAGAGCTCCAGACTCGGGCTGCCTCTGTCCAGATGTGTGACCTCGGGAGAACTTGCTCTCCCTGGACCTTCATTTGTAAAGTGTAAGAATGGTCCTACTCTTCCACAGGGTAACTTGGGCATTAAACAAGTCTACCCACGTGCAAGGCCTTAAACCCATGCCTCCTCCAACACTCGATGTGGGTGGGTTATCATCAGCTCCCAGGGAGGGAGTGAACACAATTCCTGGATTAACCCTGGAGCGCTTCCCCGTGGACCACGCTAGCCACAGCCAACCGCACACTCCCACGTCTCCGGGCCCAGGGCAGTGGATGGCTCTGGGTCCAGAATCCCTGCCCCACCCTGCAGGGAGCTGTTCCCAGCTGGCAGCAGCTCTGTTCCCGGGGAATGTGGGAGGCACAGTCCTGCAGGTGCAGAGTCTGGGGCATGTTCACAATTCCACAGTCAGGGAACAAGTGAACAACAGTAGCCCCGTGTCCAACAAGCTCCTCTGGGCCTCGCGGGACTGTCTGGGAGCACCAAGGCAAGTGTGGAGCCAGCCAGCCCAGGAGCGGGTTGGACAGTCATTAGCGGCAGCCAGCACAGCCACTTCCGGAGCCCCAGCTACAGCGGCAGCGGCGTGCTCTCTCCCGGAGTAGGAGCAGAAGCATGGCTCCATTAAATATGCATGGCACTCACCTTGTTAGGCGCGGAGTGATTGTGTGTACCGAGGGCGAGCTGCCCACTCTGCGTTACACACAGAAACTTTGCCATTTCCCTGGCAGCGGCTACGGGCACGGGCTCCCCGCCTCCCCCACAAGTATGCAGAGCCGTATCGGGTCCCCATCCCCGTCTCAAGAGCAGCCTATCCAGAACTCATCTTAAATCATCAAATATCCACACGAGAGACTGGTAGCTGCTGGGGCCCCACGGCCGTGGCCAGGACTGCACTGTGGCTAGCTGGTGAGGGACAGAAGTGAGATCTGGATTCTGTCCTTCGCTCTGCCCATCAGCCTGCAGGCCCAGGATCGCTGAGGCGGGAGGAAGTCTGGCTTCTGGTGAAGCTGCTGGGGGCCTGCAAGGAGGGAACCAAGTCCCTGGTACCCTAACCACATCCAAGGCACAACAGCTACACAGCAGCCAGGCACGCCCATGAATGCCTCCTGGGAGCTGTCCACACTGCCCTCAGTGTCCCAATCTACAGGTAACCGAGCCCCAGGAAGGCTCAGTCTCTTGTCCAAGGTTGTAGCTGAACAGGCTACTCACAAACTGTATCCCTCCAAGGGTACACGGCCAGGATAAAGGCGGGGGCGCCTGCCTTTACCTCCCCTTCTCCCCACCTCTGAAGTTTTTGGGGCTCCTGCCAAGGAGCCAGGTGCGTCCAGCTTTCCTGCTGTGTCCCAGGCCCCTGCTGCTCACACCCCCACCCCAAGGGCTCTCTGACCTTCACACCAGTTCCTAGGAAGAACCTCCCTGGGGTCAAGGGCAGGGCTGGGTCTCCTAGCCCCCTCCCACAAGTGTGGGATCTGGGGCTGCAGACTCAATGCCTTTGCTCAGCCTGCCTTGCCCGAAGCTGAGTCACCCACGTATAAGATGCTCTGAGGAGGACCTGCAGGGGACAGACCAGCTGACAGCCTTCTGGCAAATAGCTTGAGACCCAGGCAGGTCAGGGCCCTGCAGGACCTGGGAAAGCCGCTCTCCTAGTTCAGCCATCCCCCACTGCCCACCCACGAGGCCGAGGTGAGAGACCCTTAGTGGGAAACAATAGGGAAAGGTTGGGGAAGCATCAGAGAAGGCTCCCAAAGTGAGCCAGGGCCTTGGATGGGAGTCTGGCTCCAGCATCTCCAGGGACCCCCTCTTTGCGCCAGCTCTTCCCAGAAGAAAGAGGACACAGACATGGGGACTCCCTGCGCTGCCCCTACAGCCTACCCTAGCCAGGCCCCAGGGAGGGGGCGGTCACAGGTGCTCACTGCTGGGCCTCAGGACGACTCAGCTCGGAGGATGCCACCAGTGCAGGGGTCTGGAGGAGCTGGGCCTTCGGGGGAGGAGCTGACCCTCCTGGTGGAGCTGACCCCATGCCAGCTGCCACAGGCCTGAAGAGAGCCAGGCAGCCGGAAGGCAGTACCTGCCCTGTCCGCCCGAATGCCTGGGGGCGGGGCCAGGAGTACTTCTGGGTTACCAGCTCTTGGTGTCTTGAGACTGCCGACTTTCCAAGCAGACTTCACACCACAGGCTCTGCCAGGTCCTTCAACCACGGCATTCAGACCACACAGCACCCAGGGCTCAGTGCGAAGTGTGGGTCACATTTGGGATTCAGCGCCCTGTGAAAGCCAGCAAGCCAGCATCCACAGCAAAGGTGCCAACACCCCCTGACCCTGGCACCATGGCATGTGCACGGCTGAGCCGCAAGGTGCAGGAGGCCAGGTGTATTCCAGGCCTTTTCAGCTTAGCAGGATGCACCCCACAGAACATGGAGGAGTCCTACACATCCGTACGCAAACGTCCATCACATCCATGCTTGGTCCCGCTCCTCTGTAAAACTCGGAGGAACACAGCGAGCTCAAGGACCTAGGCAAGGGCCTCTCACAGGCACAGGCCCAAGGCAGCCCACCTGGAAGTGGTGGACCTACAAACAGAGCAGGCTGTGGCCCCCCAAGACTGTACCTCTGGGCCTCAGCGAGACAGGGGCAGGAAGCTGGCACAGGCTGGCCGTGGCACACAGCTGCCTATGACTTGGTTTCCCTGCTGGTCAGAGGAAGGCCGTGCCCTCGGGGCATCTGCCCTGATCAGCTATGGTCAGACGACCCAGGTCTGTCCCTGCAGCCCCTCCTTGGCTCCTACGAGACAGGTTCCAGGAGACAAGCGAAGACCACTGTACAGGAGGAAGCACCATTAGGGGGCCAGTGCACCCCGACCCAGTCACACACCAGGCGATGCCCTGCGCCTCCAAACTCACAATCCAGACAAACTGGAGATGGCGCACGCCACCTGTGACCATTCAGAGAGCTATGCCTGAGTCTTGAGGTGGCAGGCCAGGACAGACTAGGGGCGGGGTGGGGTATGCAAAGTAGGTGGGTGATGCTGTCAGCCAGGGGCAGACAGGTACAAGCTAAGGACTTCCACCCGGGGTGGCAGGACGGCGGGCAGTGGGTGGATGTAGTGTTAGAGACACAGGCAGTGTCTGCGAGGTGGCAAGGCAGGACCCCGCAGTGGCCTCTACCTGCGTATGGTTTAAACAACCCAGCCTAAGAACTGCTCTCATGACAAAGCAGGTAAGGCCACTGCCTACAACACTGTATCCCGTACGGGCTCCAGTTGTTCCACTTCTGATCCAGCTCCCTGCTATTGCACCTGGGAAAGCAGTGGAAGATGGCTCAAGTGCTTGGGTCCCTGCACCCATGCAGAAGACCTGGATGAAGCTCCTGGCTTTGGACTGACTGACCCGTTTTTGGCTATTGCAGCCATTTGAGGGTTGAACCAGCAGACGGAAGATCCCCCTATTTCTCTCCTTCTCTCTCTCTCTGTTTCTCTGAAACTCTGACTTTCAAATAAAATAAATAAACCTTTTAAACAAACAAAAATACCACATCCACATCTCCCGTGGCTGGGCGGAACCATGCATGTGCAAGTCTAGGGGAACAGTCCCATGACAGGGATCCCAGGGGGGCTCAGAACCCTCCTCCTCACAGCTGACCTGGGCATGCGTGCTAGGTCAGGGGTGAGAGCCCGACAGAGAGCCTGGGCCCCCTCTGCTTCGCCACTGCCTGGCCTGAATGTCCCCTCCTAAACACATCTTAATGAAAGTGAGAGGCGATGATGTCACTGGGGCACGCCCTCGGGGAATCAACCAAGAGGGTGTGGCTATCCCACAAGTGGGTTCCAACAGAAAAGGGGAACCTTTATTCCCCATCCCAGGCATGCTGGTGCCACATGGTGAGGTGGTAGGAATTTCCTCACCGGATGCAGTGCCCTAAGCTGACAGTGCCAGCAGTGGACCCCACCCAGGATGCTAAGCTCTGCAGCTCCCTAGACACAGCCAGGAGCCAAGAGCAGACAGGGCCGGGGCAGCGGCACAGAGGGGCCGGCTGGGGGAGTGCGCAGAGGGTCCCGCGGGCCGAGACGGTACCTGAGTCTGTAGGGTGGTGGCATCCAAGACGGTGACCCGAGATCCACAGCTGGCCCACACAGCATCCTCCAGGCTGAGCAGGGTGCGAATGGGCCCCGGGCCCACAGTCAGGCACATGGGCGGGCTCTCCAGGTCCCACAGCGTCCCTCCTGTGGGCAGAGAGGAAGACAGATGGTGAGGGGTCCATGCGAGGAGCCAAGGGCAGCAATGGGGACTCCTGCGGGACTCCACATACATCCCCACCCCTACCCCACCCCTGCCCCTAGCCTGCCTGTTGTCTCTCCCTCTGCCCTTCACACTCCCCCTCCCCCCCACTGGCCCCTCCCTCCTTCCCACGTCCCCTCTGTGGTCTCCTTTCCACTCTTCTTGGTTCAGTTCACCCCGACTCCAAGTCAGGCCATGTGCTGTGCCATGCACAGCCTGGCAGGCAGACAGCACCCTGGTGGCAGGGTGTGGCCCTGGTCCTGCTGCCATCTCGCTAAGGAGCCTGACAGCAGCTGTGCCCCTATCGAGCCCTCTGGGGACCTCCCTGGCACCATGGCTCCTCCAGAATGAACCTGTTAGCCACCTTCTCTCCCATTCCAAGACTTAACCACGATTTACCCCATCAGGACCACCACCGCTCCCCAGCAGAAGGGACATCCCAGGCGTAGCCCGTTCCCCAGAGGGCCATCCCCAATGATGCCAGGCTGAGAGTTAATGTCCCGGCACTGATGCCCACCTGTGCCCTGGCACCCAAGCAATGTGTGCTGAGTCACACTAGAGGCTGGGACAGGCGGGAGTAGGGGCAGGGATGGACGTGTCAGTCTGACGTGGGGAATCCTGGGCTGAGATACAGCCTGAAGGGATAGGCCACAGGGTGTGGAGCGTGGAGGACTTTGCCCTGCCCCAGCCGGATCCCTCTACCAGGTCCCAGAGGGGCTGCCAAGCAGCCCTGTCACAGACCCCGCCTTGACCCTGAGCTGCCACTAGGTGGAGCCAGAGTGGGGGCAGGCAGCTGCGGACCAAGATGGAGAGGCCATCTGGGCAGAGGGCAGGAGCTGCTGGCCACCTGGGGTGTGGTGGGCGGCGCTAAGCCAGACTCTAGCCCTGACCCCACTCCTGAGCAAGGCCTGGCCTACTTTTCCTGTCTTTTCTCTTCCTCTCACCTACACACCAGGGACCCTTTATGCCCTCTTCTGCCCTATTCACAATCAGCCACCCCCAGCACAGGCGGGCTCCTTCCCACATGGGAAGCAGGCTGGGCCTGGCAGTCCTTGGCTGCATGAACACAGCCGGGGGACTCACACTTTCCTGAACTCCGCTTTCCTCGCCTCTAGGCTAGGCACGACAAGTACACCTTCAGTTCTCCAGAGGCTGCGGGGTCCCTAGGAGGTCCCAGACAGTCTGGGGCGGTGCCCACCCTCGAGACTTTGTTCCCCAGTGCCCCTTTTTAATAACTGGGGTGGCTGAGATCCAGCGAATTTCAGCAACCGTCCCCTGCCTACCCAGAATCACGGAGCTCGCAAAGGATGCCTGAGCACTGGCCGTCAGACCACATAGCCGGCACAGAGGGTAAGCCAGGAGGAATTGGACAACACCGGTGCCATCAGGGCAAGGGGCTCTGGGCAAGGGGAGGCTTCCTTTGCAGCCAGCATTGTGGCACAGCGAGCTAAGCCATCACCTGCAACATTGGTCTTCCCACGGTGGAGCATCAGTTGGAGTTCACTTCCCACCCAGCACCCTGCTCACGCACCCGAGAGAGCCACCAGAGCTGGTCCGAGTGCTTGAGCCCCCGAACCCATGTGCTTTAGCCTGGTCCAACCTTGACCGCTACAGCAGCCGTTCGGGGAGTGAACCAGAGGCTGGAAGACGTCTGTCTCTTTCCCTTGCTCTTGTCCTGACTTTCAAATCAATCAATCAACAGATGAATAAATACGTTAATTTTCAAGGAGAAAAAATAAAAAGCAGCTTCCTCTTGGTGGGCCTGGGTTTTCCCTGGACCACCAAGATGACTGTCCCCCACGGATGCTGTCAGTTCTCCGGCACTGTAACTGAGACCAGGAACACAGACACCATCAGGCACCATGGCGTAGTAGACTAAGTCTCTACCTACGGGTGCCGGCATCCCATGTGGGTGCCAGTTCAAGTCCCATCTGCTCCAATTCCGATCCAGCTCCCTCTCAGGACCTGGGAAAGCAGCAGAAAATGGCTCTAGTCCTTGGGCCCTGCACCCACAGAGAAGACTCAGCTTCTAGCTTCAGAGTAGCCCAGCACTAGCTGTTGCAGCCGTTTGGGGAGAGAATCTAGCAGATAGAAGATTTCTCTTTTTCTCCTTCTCTTTGTAACTCTGCCTCTCTCAAATAAAAACAAAGTAAATCTTTTAAAAGAAAAAAAAAAGTGCAGCCCCAATGAGCCAGGCTGGGGGCGAAGCCTCCCAGTGCAGTTCCACCTTCCCCCTCCTCCTCCAGGGGCTGAGACGGGCTTGCATGTGCCAGGACACACATGCACACATGCAGCTCTGCCCCTGTGTGACAGCCCACCTATCTGGGCTTGAGCCAGGCCCAGCTCTCAGCGAACAAAGGGCACCTTCTCCAGCCCGCAAGGGACAAAGCCCTGTGCATACCTCTCCCAGGAGGCAGGGCACAGAGTGAAAGTTGCAGAGGAGGGGAGGGGCCCAAGGGAAACCGCTGCCTGGGGAGGTTACAATGAAAATCAGCAGTGACCCCGATGCTGGGGAAGTCAGGGGAGTCGCTGCAGCCCAGGAGGAGCACGTGTGACTGCTCCAGAACTGAAGGAGCTAAGGCTGCCTGCGTGCCCATTTTCCAGATGATGAAACAGAGGCTCAGAGAGGCAAAGCACCCGGCCCCAGGAACTCTCATCTAGCTGAAACTTGACCCCAGCCCAGGTCCTTGCCCATGATATCACCTGCCATCTGACCCTGACCCACATCCTCTACCCCAGCCCAGACCCTGGCAATGCCCGTGAGCTGGCCAGGGACAGTGGGAGAGTTGGGCTGACTTTGCTCACACACAGGACTGGATAGCACAGGGGCAGGGCCACCTGGCTCAGTGCCTGGCGATCAGAGGCACTCGATACGCCCTTGCCGGATGAATGAACAAACGGATGAATGAATGCGGATAAACAGAGCCTCCATTTCCCTCTGTGTTGGCTGCACGCCGGACCCCGTACCCCTGGCTCTGGAGTCGGGGGCTCCCCGGGGCAGGTCACCTGGGGAATTTGCACGTCCACTTTCAGGGGTTGTACATGCAGGTCCTTCGGGGTACAGATGAGTCCCTGGGTGGGCTCCTGTTCTGGTCTGCTCCTGCCCTCACACGCAGCCTCCGCCAGGCTGAGAAGACCAGTGTCATCTGGGTGTGGCCTCCGCCAAACCCTATTCCTTGCAACAGCTGCAGGGACACCTGCTCCACCATAGTCTGGCTTAGTCACAAGCCCCTGGTTCTGCATGGGTGCCACCAGGGGGCACCAGAGCCAGCTGCTGAGGGGCACTGGAGCCTGGAGGTGACCCAGGTCAGCTCTGAGCTCCAGCTCTGTGGCTGCGATGGGCAGATCACAAGGAGGTCATAGGCAGGTCATGGGGAGGTCATGGGGAGGTCATGGGCAGGTCACAGACACACATAACCCAGCCACACATGGCCCAGGTTAAAAGTGGTGGGGACAGTCCCACTCCCTCATCCCATGTGGCAGGTCCTGTCGCCTCACTTCCTGCCCAGGCCTCCTCTGAAGGACACCATGGAGATGGGGGGAGGAGGGCTATCCCAGAGGCTCCCCTGGCCACAGCCAACCTAACGGTCAGGGAGTGGGCTCATGGGGAGAGTGTGGCCACCAGGCCCACCTCCTGGCTGGCTCTTGGGGGCCCATCCCTGGAGCATGGTGCCCTCACAGCTAGCCAGAGGGAGTTGAGGCTCAGCCAACCCCAGTGCTTTTCCTCCACTTCCTGTCACACTCACTCACACAAGGCCAAAGCCCCTACAAGCACCCCTTGCCTGGGTGACACTGGCCTTCGTGTCTCCTGCTGGGGCTGCTCAGGAGGGCAAGGCCGTACTAAAACAGGAGTCGCCCTGGTGACCTGGCTCACTCGGAAGAACCTGAATGTAGAACACTTGTTGTTTGACCAGTCAGTCCCCAGCCCCTGTCTGGGTGTCCATCCCTCTCTGCCCAGCACAGCAGTCTCCTCTCTGGGGTCCCCACTAGAGCAACCACTCTTGTGCCCCCTGGTCTTTGCACATGTCATGCGCTTTGCCAAGTTCTCTGACCCCCCTGCCCTTCACATGCCTAGCCCCATTGCGCCTCCTCCTCTCGGCTCCTGGATCACCCTGCCAGGGCAAGCCCTAATCATGTATCCGGAGCCAGGCCCCCACGGGCACCCAGTCCTTGCCTCTGGGACCTGGCACAGCCAGGGACCTGCAGCTGTCTGCTGGTTCCATGACTGAGTCTGGCTCCCTCCGTCACCTCCCTGGGGGCAGCAGCCCCTCTGCTTCGCTGGCCATTGCATGCAGGTGCATAGCAGGTTCTCAGGACACATACAGTGGCAGAGAGAAAGGCAGGGATGGGCCCGGCGCGGTGGCGCAAGTGGTTAAGTCCTCGCCTTGCACGCCCGGGATCCCATATGGGCGCCGGTTCTAATCCCGGCAGCCCCGCTTCCCTTCCAGCTCCCTGCCTGTGGCCTGGGAAAGCAGTTGAGGACGGCCCAAAGCTTTGGGACCCTGCACCCGCGTGGGAGACCCGGAAGAGGCTCCTTGCTTCGGATCGGCATAGTATCGGCCCGTTGCGGCTCACTTGGGGAGTGAATCATCGGATGGAAGATCTTCCTCTCTGTCTCTCCTCTCTGTATATCCGCCTTTCCAATAAAAAATAATAAAAATAAATCTTAAAAAAAAAAAAGAAAGGCAGGGATGCTGGTGGGGACACCTCCTGTCCCTCCAGGTCTGACAACTTCAGCTCTGCAGGACAAGCCCAGGCCCCTCCTGTGTGGACAGGGTTGTGGACCATGCCAGGCCCAGCTCAGTCCCCTCCCAGCAGCTCTCCGCAGTGGGTGGCACTACGTCCCAACCCCTGAGGCCTCAGCACTTGGCCTCACTTGGGACAGGCCACTGTGGAGGCCATTAGTTGGGAGGAAGTCATACATGTGACCCCTAATCCTAAGCAGCTGACGTCCTTCAGAACCGGAAGTGGGGCGCCCAAACCCAGGGAGATTCCTGGGCAGGGTGGGAGTCGCTGCCAACAGCCCAGAGATGTACCTGAAGGCCCCAGCCAGGTGCCACCCAAGGTGGGGTAAAGAGCCTGGGCACCCCCTTCCTCCCAACCCAGCACCCTACATGATAAGTCAGGAGCTAGGGGGTGGGGCCTCTGAGGCTGGGAAGGCCGCGCGTGCACCTGAGCCCATGTTGACATCCACACACACGTTCTGTCTGATGACAAGAGTGACTTTTTCCCCTCCTTCTTCCCCCTTTAATTAAAAATTATAAATGCCTTATCAAAAGCTAATTAAAAATACCAACACAGTGCCAAGTGGCAAAAAAAACAAAACACTCAGTACAAACATTCATTTATAACTGCAGCTTGTGGTATGATGACTGGGGGATAGCAGCCACGCCCACCAGCAGGGTCTGCAGGCTCACCTGGCCCCCGGAAGTCCAGGGGTAAAGGAAAGGGGCACTTCATCCCCCACCAGGGGCTGCAAGAGCCATCAGCAGCCAGGGACCACAGCTGTGGGGAGCTGTGCATGAGCGGCACCCCACCCTTAACTCAGCAGCAGACCCAGAAAGCTGCCTTAAGGCTGCAAGGCCGAGTGGAGGGTGATGCTAACGCAGGCTTGTTAGGTGCCTGGTCCACCCCTGGAGCACACCCTCCAGACACAGCCCCCAGGCCCCGAAAGCTCAGGAAACATACAAGGCATGGGGCGTGCATGCCCACCAAGGACAAGTGATGCCCAGCCCTGCACTCGGCCGCCTTCCACAGGGCTGTAGAAGCTGCCGGGACCTGGAGGAGCGGGTGCTACTGTTATTTCCACTTTAGAGAATACAAGAAAAGACTCCAAGACAAGAAGCTGTTTGCTGAAGGATGCATGCCGTACCCAGGACTCAACCTGAACTCAAATACAGGCCTCACCCTGGCCCGCTGTGCGAGGAGACCCTCCGGTGGGCTCTGAGCAGCTCCTGCAGCCAGGACTGCCCCCTAGTACCCGCCCCCCTGCCCGTGTCCTCACCACTGGTCCGAGGGTAGGCAGCAAGGGTCCCGTCCTGCAGGCCAGCCAGCAGGTGGAGGGCACTGTGCCGCAGGCAGAGCACGGGCTGCAGGCCGGGGCTCCGGCACGTCGCCAGGCACTGTGTACCGGTGTCCACGCTGCCGTAGAGCAGGATGCTGTGGGCAGAGAAATGTGGGGGCAGCTGTTACTCACAGAGCATCGTCTGCAGCTCCCCCTGCCCTCCTGCCCCACAGGGGGTGGGGGTTGTGAGACCAGGCCCCAGCTCCACCTTACAGGAACCGTCACAAGGTCCCTGTCACAAGAAGGCCTCAGGGAGACACCAGGGACAGCACTAAAAGGTGTTAAGAGAGCAGTTATCAGAGCCACACAGGCCAAGTTTGAGTCCAGCTGCGCCTTCCTCCACAGAAGGGCCCCAGGCTGCTGAGCCTCAGTTCCTGCCCTGAAGTGAGGCCACCGAAGGGACACAAGAACTGGCCTTGCGTGAAGTGGATGCACACTAAATGTGCTGCTGTGTGCTGGGAAGCCAGGTCTTGGTGCGGGAAATATCGAGGACCACTCCAGAGGCAGAAGGCTCAGGTGGATGGCTTCCGGGGGCAGGGGAAGAGAGCGGGACTGTCCAATAGCTATGGGGCTTTTTTCTGGGGTTACGTGAATGTTCTAGAATTACACAGTGGTTACATAAAATGGTTTGGGGCTGGCATCCTGGCATAGCCAGTAAAATAGCCACCTATAGCAACAGTATCCTACGTAGGGACTAGTTTGTGTTCCAGCTGCTCCAATTCCCACCCAGTTCCCTGCTTGTGGCCTGGGAAAGCAGCAGAGAAGGCCCAAAGCCTTGGGTCCTGCACCCATGTGGGAGACCTGGGAGATGCTCCTGGCTCCTGGTTTCGGACTGGCCCAGCTCTGGCCTTGCAGCCATTTGGGGAGTGGACCAGCGGATGGAAGATTCTGTCTCTGTCTCCTTCTCTCTCCAGGCCCTCATGTCATGGGGCTCAGGGTGGCTCCTACTGGTTCTGCTTGCAGTGTTGGCTTCTGCTCCTCCCTTGGTCCCTTGGGTGAAAGTGGGGTCTCAGGGTGGTGGAATGGCCGAGAAGCTCCTGGCCCTGATATGTAGTAAGAACTCAGGAAACACAGTGTGTCCCAGCCTCCTCTCCCAGGGCAGGCAACAAGCAGGCAGAGACACAGAGAGCACGGGCCCCGCCAGGCCAGGGCTGTGAGCTCTCGGGAGAAGGGGGGAGGCGGGGAGAATCTCTGGGTCTTTAGAAACCGTTCCCTCTACTATACTTCCGCGGACCCCAGGGATGCCACTCTGGCTGCATGCCTCCACACTGCTAGTGAGATCACCTCCTCGGGCACATCTTGCAATGAGGGGGACCCTCTGCGTGGCAGACACCTCCTGGCCTGGGATACCCCAGCTAGCAGGGGAACAAGAGCCAGTGTCAGCTACGTGGACTGAACGCTCTGCATGCCCACGTCTCGTGTACTGTCCCTTGGCCCCACTCTGCAGATGAGACACTGAGGTTCAGACTGGTAAAATGCAGTGCCTGAGGACACACAGCAGGGAAGTTGGGATGGAGGAGAGCGAACACTTAGATTTGAACCAACACCAAAGGCAACAGCTCACCCACCCACTGACTGGCCCACTGCAGCACAAGCAGCCCCCGTTGCTCTGGCGCCCACCCTGGCTGGCTCCAGTGCCCGCCTTCCAACCAGGAAGAATGTGGGTAACAAGCAACTCCAAAGCAAGGCAAGGGGATGGCCCCGCCTCCTGGCCCCACCCCATTCTGTCCCACCCCTCCCCCCCAGGCCTGCACCTGCCGTCCTGGAGCCCGAGGCAGATAGTGGGACGCACTGCAGCCGAGGGGTCAGTGGCCGGCCCACTCTCCTCTCCACTCTCGGTCTCCTCCTCCTCTGGCTCAGGAATATACTCCATGCAGAGCACAGGGGCCGCCAGCGGAAAGGACTTGACCGTGCGGGGCGAGGGCCGGTTCAGGGAGAAGATCTCCACCTGACCCCCAGCGCCCTCTTGCCCACCTCCAACCTGGGAACAGGGAGAGACCATCAGGTGTGACACACAGAAACAGAGGTAGGGTCTAGTCCCCTCCTTCCAGGGACCTCGTCCCGACCTCCTACCAGCCACAAGGGTTAGAGAGCAAGGGGTCATTCCCTCTCCTGCCCACCCACAACCTGCGGTCACAAGGTGGCTCGTCCCCAGCTGCCATGGCAACCAGCTAGCCTCAGGGTCTAGATGAAATCAGTCAAGGAGCTGATGAAAACTAAACACACATCAGCTTCCTATTTCCTCCGCTGTAGGGTGCCTTTCGATCATACAGCGAATGCTTCCTCTGTCCCTTTAAAATGTCCTTCTCTGTACTGGTCACTCCTTTACTCCGGTGTCTAGCACATGGGACACACCCAACATATGGCAGGTGGATACATGGATGGATGGATGGATAGATGGGTGGGTGGGTAGATGGATGGATAGGTGGGTGGGTGGATGGATGGGTGGGTGGGTAGATGGATGGATAGGTGGGTGGGTGGATGGATGGGTGGGTGGGTAGATGGATGGATAGGTGGGTGGGTGGATGGATGGATGGGTGGGTGGGTATATGGATGGATAGATGGTGGATGGAAAGAAGAAAGGAAAGATAGCAGGTAGGTGGATGAGCGAGTGGAGGAATGGATAAACCACATGCTAGGTACAGGGGGAGCTAGAAGGACACAGCACTCAGAGGGACATATGGGCTCATCTCTGAAGGGGAAGCCAGTGTCTGGAGATGGGATTGATCAGGGGCAGAAGATGGCCGAGGCGTAATGATGCTGGAGCTTCAAGGCCTGGAGGCCACAGCGACACGAGGAGAGGGGGCTGGTTGGGAAGGGGCTTATTTGAACAAAGTGAGCCTTGCAGGAACCGTCCCCTCACCTCAGCGGCACATAAAGTGATAGAATCTCCACAGGAAGTGGGCAGGAGCTTTCCACCCTGCGACCCAGGCAAGTCACCACCCCACTCATTACCCTCACATCACCCTAAGTAAGGGGCACGGCCTCCTGCCAACGCCCTGGCTTTCTGCTGCCTGGGGGAGGCTCTGGCTTCCCGCTCCGAGCACAGCGTCCAGCACTAAGCTTGCCAGGGAGACGCTGCAGGCTGGGCCTGGGGGAGGGAGGGTTACTCACCCAGAGGTAGCCCTGTGGCAGGGAGGTGCTGACCGCAGAGAAGCCGAGCAGCGGGCAGTTGACAGGACTGTGGACTAGGGCACCCAGCTGCGGAGACAGAGACAGGAACTGTGCAGTTAATCAAGCTGGTGACAGGATGCTAACGTTCAGCCCCAGAATGAAAATCCCAGAGTGTGGACGCTTGGCAAGCGCCCTTCACCCAGAGTCCCTGCCACATCCCACACCCTCCCACGTGACCATCGCCTCAGCCTGGGGTCTCGGAGCCTAGCTGCTTCCAGGTTTGCTGCCAGCCTGGTGCCCAGCTTCTTGCCTTTACAGCAAATAAGGACAACAGAGGACAGGGCACTGCCTTGGGCCACAGGGAGCTAAGCAGTACCACCCAGCCTGCACCTGGCTTCCTCAGCACCAGGCCCACCCTACACGGAAGCCCCCCTGGTCAGCAGGAGTGGGCAGGGCTGGGCACCAATAGCCACCAGTTGCTGTCCTCAATTCTAGGCAGGATAGCTTCTCAGCGACCTAGATCCTCAGCCAGGCCTAGCCTGCCTGGCCCTCTAGCTGGGACAGCCAAGTCCAAGGGCAGGAGACGGAGGAGGGTGATGGTGTAGGAGGGAAGCAGAGAGCTTAGGCCCTCTCCCAGGCCCGTGCTGCCCTCTGCTGGCGCTGATGGCCTAAACCGGCCTGGTCCTGCTGGAATATTCTAACCACCCTGGCAAGGGGGCCCAGGGAAGGTCCCCCACACCCACCCTCACAGCCTCTTCCTGGAGTTGCCAGTGAACTTGAGGCTTGGGTGGATGGGGACTGGTCCAGGGTCCCATGGGACAAGTCAGTGACGGGGTAGGGGCTGAATCTTGGACTTGCAAGCCCTAGCCCGGGGCTTTCTGCTCCAGAAGATTCCCCAGACCCCTGCTCCCTCCCGAGGCCCTGGTGTGCCACACCCCAGGCAAGAGGCCTCCTGGGCGCTCCAGTCATGGCACTTCCAGGCAGCCATGCTGCCACTCCTACCCTGTCTCTCAGAGGAGAGAGGGGGCTGTCGTAGGCAGCCCTGGCTCAGGCATTTCCATGGCAACCCCAACGGGCCCTGATTTGGCCAGGATGACGGCGAGAGCCCAATGGCTCCTTCTGAAGCGAGGCTCAGGAGCGCCAAGTCTCACCCACCCCAAGCCAACTTCCAGAAAATCTTGGCGGCCCATGCAGGGCGGGGAAGGAAACACGAGGCCAGGGAAAAGTCACAGAGCCAGGAGGCAGGTCAGCCGGGCAACAAGTCCAGTCGGTGACCACCAGCTGCAGCATCTGCACAAACTGGCACCTCCTCAACACAGCTGGGGCCCTGGCATCTCGTCGGGTCAGCCATGGGCACGGCAGTGGGCAGGTGTGAGGCACTTAGCATGGGGCTGGGCAGCTGGGTCATGACAGTCGCCAGGGCAGGGGCCTCTGGGGCACCTCACATGTCTCCACCCCCAGGGCTGGCACCCACACCACAAGGGCAAGACCAACAATAGTTCCCTCTAGCAGAGGCCAAGGTCAGGCCGGAGCCCCGCTACTACAGGCCTAGCCACTGCCCTCCTGCAGGCCAGGATAACTAGCACATCAGAGGTGACTGTACCCCTGCCTTGTCCCCATGGCACTGCAAGGCCCTCACTGCTCTGGCGGCCAGCCCAGAGCTGCTGGGGTGCATTTGCTGGGGCTGGGTAGGAAGCAGATGTGGGCACAGCAGGATTGGCGTCTTAGGGCCTGGCAAGTGGGGCTGTACAGGCCTACTTCCCACAGATACGCTCATGCAGGCCGTGGCCTGCCCAGGGGCTGCCAGCAGGCTGACCAGGATGCCTACCATGGGTTGTGGTACCCCCCAGCCTGTGTGCCCCTGGACCGTGACAGCTCCAAATGGGGGACATTCAGATCCCACCTCCCATGTGCAAAGTGGCAGATGGCTCCCCACTCCTCCTTGCTTGGGGAGGAGACAGCAGTTAGCCCACGACCCTACCCCCAGGCCACCTGACTCCACCTGCCCAGGACCCCACCCCCAGGTCCCACCTGCCCATGACCCCAACCCCAGACTCATCTGTCAGGGTTTGGTCTTATGTGCCCAGGAGACCCAAGGCCCTGGGAACACAGAGACCCCTAATCCGCCTACAGAATCACACAGGAGTCAGTCTCCCCAAGGTGGTACGTGAAGACCAGGCGAGCTACAGGCCCGCGAGGACCCCAGCGATCCTCTGCACCAACTCCAGCCTCCACCCCAAGGTTTTGGGGATCCCATCTTGGGCACCCTACCTGTCACCAGCTCAGCCAGTGTTGTCCTGATTCACATCCCTCATGGACCCCCCATGTGCCCCTTCCCACCACCTCCCATGGGGCCGGGGCTAAAGCAATGACAGGACAGGACACTCGCCTCGGCTGCATATCTCAGTCACCATGAAGAAGATTCTAAGGCAACTCTCCAAGGCTGGACTAACGCATCTGTGGTAAGTTCTGCCTAAGACTTGAATGAAGACCGATCCCGGCCCTGCACGACACTGCCTCACTGGCCTTGCCCGAGCCACACGGGCAGCCAGACCACCGGCAGCCATTGCCACTCCCTACTTCCGGCATCTCTGCTGCCTGCTCAGACTCCACACCCGAGGTAAGGCTCCGGGGTCCCAGCCCTGGCCTCAGCTGTCACAGCAGGACCCCCAGCGCTGAGTTCTGACGGCGCCTCAGTATCCACCCCCGCCCCATCTTGTAGAAAGGATCCAAAAGCGCAGTCAGACCTGCTCTGCTTGGAGTGGAATCAGATGGCAAGCCAGCCCGCAGCGTCCCCCTCCCTCCGTGGCTGGACCTTCGCCTCCCAAAGCCACGTGGAAATTTCCGTGCCACTGCGACAGTACTAGGAGGCAGTGAGTGCAGTCACCAGGGCTCTGGCCTTCCACATGGATCACCATGGCTACCGCAGCAGCAGCAAGCTGGTGATCGCAGGGGCGGCTTCCTGACCTCGCACACCTGCTCCCAGGGTGATCACGCAGGAGGGCCGGCCTGGGCTCCGGTGTCCCAGCGGCAGAAGATCCTGCTCCTTCAGCTCGAGGACTTGTTGCTTGGCCTCCCTGTCGCTTTGTCTCGGTGGAACAGCCTTCCCCTGGGCCCTCACAGGGATCGATGCTTCCTGCCACTCGGGCCTGGGGTTAAGCACCACCTGCCCCGAGAGGCCCTCACCTCTGCCTGCATGGTTCTATCACTGAACCATGATCTTCCTCACACCTACCTACCACCCTCTCCGTTTCTTTACTTTATTCTACTATGATTGTGACAAGAGGACCAGGACCCAGGAGGGGGCCAGACAGGTGGCAGAGGCCCCTGTGTGGTCTCGTTTTGCAGCCCAATTGTCATCTCTTGGGACCTATTTCTCTGGCCCAGGGTCCCAAGCTGGCTCTCCCGTCACCCAGGGAGGGGATGGACATAGTTGCTCCAGGTGGAAAGACAAGATCAGCCAGGATGTCAGGGGCAGGTGAAGGATGGAGGGGACGGGGAGGGGCTGGTGGTTACCACACGGGTAGGCTATGATAGGGACGCTCCTTGGAAATTCAGGTCTCCCATGGGAGCATCAGTTTACTAATCTGTGAAATGGGTCTGGAAACATCTCTGCATGGGGTCTCAGAAATATTATGAATATGAGGGGAAGCACCGGGATGCTGGCCGGGTGTTTAACAACCAGGAGATGTCAGGGTCACGGGGTCCCAGGTGGTGAAGGCGGCCTCACACCACAGCAGGCTCCCAACAGGCAGCACCACCAACAGCCCAACCCAAGACGCTTGGCCCAGCTGCTTTGGAGCATTCTCAAGTCAGGCTGTCACCCAATGAGGTCACTGCTGTTTGTTATCTAGAGTGGAATTTTCCATTCCTTGCCCCACCCACATTGGTTATTTACCCGCTGCCTTGTTTCGGCGGGAAAACTAACTCCCAGAGCAAGAACAAGGCTGGAACTGGAGCGAGAAAAGGGCTGGAACTGGGATCTTGGCTGGCCCTGCTGCGAGCGCCGCCTGCGGGTAACAGTCGTCGCCAGCGCGTGCTGAGGTCTACTCACCTGCAGGCTCTGGGCCCGAGAGGAGAAGGCGGGCACGCAGCAGGCCAGGATTGGGCACCAGAAGGGGGCTTTGCTCTTCTTGTCCTCATCCGGGCACAGCCAGCCTGGCTGGTTCTCCTCCCCTGTGGTGAGAGACCGGTGGGGGGAGGTGAGGAGCGGTCAGAGCCCAGGGCCAGCAGGGCAGTGGCGGGGAGCCCTCCAGACCGGGGAAGCTGGCCGTCAGTGTAGGCCAGGTGGCCTGGCCAACCAGTCATTCCACAGCTCCTGCCCCCAGCCGGCTGGAAAGCAGACTTCATTCTAAGGACAAGACCCTGAGCATCCTGTCCCCCCCTTGCACATCACCCCAACTCCTCACTTAAAAACGGGAAAGATCAAAATGCTTTGGCTGTGAGGATGAAAGAAAGCGACAGGTGTGACAGGATTAACCCAGCCCAGCCACCGGAAAGGAGCTAAGCTACATCCTAGAGTGGGAGGTAGACTCTCCACCCTGGCACCCTGCCTGCCAGAGCAGCTGCCCAGCGCGCACACACACACACACACACACACACACACACACGGATGGAGAGGAGGGAGGCAGCCAGTCGGCCACCGCCACTGCCATCCCGAAGAACTGTCCCTGCTGGGCACCCTTCCCCCATCACACAGCGCTGCCACATCGGGGATCCGCGCACACAGAGGTGGAGCAAAAACGGTTTTCAAAAACTGCAGCACCTGAGCCAAACACAGACGCAGCATGACAAAAGTCCTACACAGGATGTGGGCATCTATACACACACACACATACACACACGGAGGGACATTTGTGTGCCCCACATGAGGACCTCCGGCAAGGACGACGGCGCCAGGGCAGGGCGTGACAGAGCCACCCCCCACAATGTGTGCCCATGCCCCGGGGCAATGCTGCAGGCTGCAGGTGCCCTGCTTGATACTTCATCAAACTCAAATTCGGTGAGATGCCTCTCCCTTCACACCCTGAGAGGGTGACACTCACAGCTTACAAACGCGACCATGTCACAGTCACAGCAGGTGCCGTAGCCCAGACAGAGACCCAGGCCTGGCTGCCAAGATGGGTTCTTTGTATTGAACCTTCCAGTGTCATTGTCACTGGTGGGTAAAGTGACACTGGACAACCAAGGGGCTAGCTTCAATTAAAATAACCAAAAGTGCCTGGACAAGCACCCCAAGAACAGCATCCATCAAGCTGGAAGAGGGGACAAGGAGCGCGGAGGTCATCAGCTGGCCCACTGGCAGCAAGCACTGCCAGCCACACGTGCCAGAGCAGGGAACCAGGCCTGCGCTGGCCCTGCCTGAGAAGGGTCAGTCTCCTGCCCATTCCTGCCTGCTAACTACTGCCCCCTTCAGTCCATCCAATACTTAGCATGCAGAGCTGTCTTGAAACTCAGACCGGACCTCGGGGTCCCCTACCCAAAAGCGCTGATGGACCTGGCTGCACCGGTACTCAGATGCCCCAAGGCGCCCCGTCCCTCCTCAGCAGCAGCCCTGGGACACCAGGCTTTCCCACACTAGGCTCCCCATGGTCCCAAGGGCAGCCCCTGCCATGCTGTGCTGGCCTGTGGTACTTCATGTCTTCACCTCCCACTGAGTGTGGCCTTGCTGTCCCCTGTTCTTGCCTGGCCGGTGTTCTAGCACAGCCAAAGTGTGTGACAGGTCGACTGTGTAAATGCATTCCCAGCTTCCCAGGGAAGCGACACCATCACAGGCCAGGGAGCGTCTGCCAGGGGCATGCCTCTTCCTGAGGGGTGGGGGAGGTGCAGGCCCACCCCAGCATTACGCACAGATGGCACTGGCCAACCACGCTATCGACAGCATCCGTGGGTACCTCACCCGACTGCCTCCTGGACAAGCCTCCAGGCTGCCAACACAGAGGGGCGCAATTTGAGAATTTGTTGCCCTCAGGTACTACTTGCAACCAAGTAGACCCCGCTGCCTTGGCTAGTCTCCAAGGCGGCCTCCAGCAGCAGGTGCAGGGTATGTACCCCCAACTCAGGAAGCCCCGGCAGCAGATGAGTGGGTTCCAATATAGGGACCTGACCTTCCCTCCAGACGGGGCCTTCGACTCGCACTGGGGAACGTGAAAGAAACTGGGGTGGCTGCTCCTCACTGCCGCTGCCTCGTCCCCTACGTATAACCAGGGCGGCCGAGAGCGAAGGAGAAAGCTGCCGCCTCGGAGGGGGAGAGCCGCCCAGGCTGAGCAATGTCATGACCTGGTGGTGGCTGCCGGGCCAGGACTCCCCGCTGATGCTAACTGGCGGCTGACTTAGCACTGCCTGGGTAGCCAGCAGCACCCACTGAGCACGAGAGCGCCCTGTAGGATGGAACAGGAAGTGCCAGGACTCGAAACCCCCAACCCTACCCTCAGGATTCCCACTCCCAATTCACTAGAAAGGTCACAGACAAACCCAGCTCAGCTGGCCATTGGCTGTGTGACCCTGAGCCAGCTGCTGAACCTCTCTGCACAGACACAGGTGTAGTACGCCCAGCGCATGCCGGGCACTCAGCAACAGCGGTCACCATGATCATGGCCTTTGATGTTAGCACTGCACCTGTTATACTCATGGGGCAAGGGGTGGGGAGCAGGGCTGAGCCACTTTCACCCCAGCCTCGGCGCTCAGCTCAGCCCCAGCACCTGGTCTCTATGGTCACCGCTGCCCCAACGGAGGGTCCCCCAGTCCTGGAGAGCGGAACCAACCGTGTCCAATGGCAGGGGCTGAGCCAGTCATGAGGGTCAAAGGAGGGGAGGCCAGGGGCGCACTCAGCCCAGCCCCAGGCCACTCAGGCGCCAGGAGCTGACCTCATCACCTGCATGGGCAACGCTGGGGTTACCATGGAGACCACACTAGAAGCAGCAGGTGATTCAGGCTTGGCCATGTGGATGAGCGTTTGTGAATGCAAGACTGGCCCAGACCCAGTCCCTCATAGGAGGCCAGGGATGGGAGAGGCCACAGCGGCCTGAGGAGGGAGGATAGGAGGCTGGGATGCAGAGCTTTGAGCACAGGGGCAGGGGGATCCCAGAGAGCCCCAACCTCATCTCCATCTCTCCTAGGGCCTGCAGCTCTTTCAGGAGACTCAAGAGAGCTGGGAAAGTGCCCACAGCACCCTGTGTACCTGCTTGTGTGTGACTCGGGGCTGCTAGCCATACTTCCCACCTCCCATGAGATCTGACCCACCTGGTCCCCAGGCACCTTGCCTGTTGGAAAACCCTGGGCAGACAGGGGTTAAACAGTGCCGGGATCACAATGGTAGTGCTGGCAACTGAAGAGGGGCAGAGCCAGAGTCAGCCCCCATCACCCCCTCGGACTCTCCTGTACGGACCTGGAGCCCAAATGCCAGGAACACCTCGTCCAGCTGGGGTCCCATGCCCTTCCCAAGGGCCACGCAGCTCAGCGAGGGTCATGCTGGCCCTCCCCAGGGCACCCTCTCCTTGATACGCACCCCAAACTCCCACACCCCATCCTCCTCCTTTCCAGTCTTCACTGAATTGTGATCCAGGCACATGGGAGCCAGGGAGGGAGGAAGGCATGGGGAGAAAGGGAAAACTTCCTTGGTGAAGAAAAGCATATTCCACTTGTAATAGGTCCCTAGTATCCTGTTCCCATCACCATCACCACCAGGTACTGCAATTTAAAAAGAATTTAAAATAAATAAGTAAATAAAAGGAATAAAATATTCATGCCACAAGGGTCCTGGGCATTTGAACAGGCCTCCATTGGAACACGGGCTGCAGTGAGACTGCGCTGCCATAGGGTGGCGCGACAGGGCCAATAAAGCAACTGCGGCTCAAAGGGCATTGCAGCAGCCTTTGCAAGCGCACAGACCCGCCTCCTACACCCGCCCAGCACAGATCTGTGCCCGGGGTGGGAGCACAGGCCGGACAGCTGGCCAGCAGGGATGGGCAGCTTCTTCTTAGATGTCTCCCCCATACCCCCCAAAGGCTTCCTGGTCCCCCAGACCTGCAGCAGAAGTTCAAGTGACACCAGATCCTAGAAGGGTCGCACTGGGTGACGACCTCTGGTCTCAGCTCCCCAAGAGCCACAGCCTTGTCCCCACGCCTCCCTGCTCCACTCCTGTCCCTCCCACATCCTCCCTGCACAGCAACCAGAGTGACCAGTGAAGCGGAAACCGGTGGTGACCTTGTCCTCGCTGTGCTGCCCACCGCGTCCACCACAACTGCCACGTGTTCCACCCAGGCCTTCAGGAAACTTTGCACCCCAACCCACCCTGCTGCCTTCTCACTGCTTCACTCAGCAGCTCCAGCCACTCTGGTCTTCTCCTCCCACCGTGGGCCCTTTGCACCTGCCTGTATCTCTGCCTGGGTTCATGGGGCACCTTCTCCAAGGCCATTCCCATAGATACTCCACGACCCCAAGGGTAAGCTCCTTAGGAACAGAGACCATCTTGGCTGTTGCCACTGCCCCTTTCCTGGATCCTAAATTTACAGGCTCACTAAATAGTGTGTGTGTGTGTGTGTGTGTATGTGTGTGTGTTTACTCAATGAATGTCCTGACTAATTTCCAGAAATGCTTTTAAACTCTCCTGGGGGTTGGGGTGGGTGGGGTGGGGAATGCACTTATCCATAAAGACATCACCACGGAGAATAAGGCAAAAAGCCAACCAGCCCCGACAAGCCAGCAGCTCAAGCAAGGCCATCGGAACGCGTGTGGTGGGCACACAGACCCTCAGCATCCCTTCCCGCTGTGTGACCTCAGGCCTGTCACTGCACCTGGCTGGCCCCTGAGGACTCCCGCAACTGCGCAGTGTGAAAGATGGGTGCAGACCCCTGAGGGCAGGGCTTGCCACACGCGGAATCTCTGACTACTGCTATGGGTACCCAGGAGAAGCAGTCAAAGGGTCTCTGGCTGAGAAGCAGCTCGGTGGGACCCACGTTGCCTCCCAGGGGGTGTGGCCAGTGTGTTAGGATGTAAACCATCCTTGGCAAGCCGGCTGCAGCTTTTTCCTTCCAGCCGCGGGTGCTCACAGGTAGTACCCACCAGCACTACCATATCACCATTCCACTGCCCTCTGCCCCACGGCCCTGGCAATCGCTGCTTTATTTTCACGGCTGGGGAGGCCTGCACAGAGGAAGTGACTTACGCAAGGGGCAACTCGGAACTCCTCCGTCACTCCCTGCCTCCATGCCCGTCCCCACCCAAACACACCCTGCCCCCAGTGCGCCAGACCCCTACCCCAAGGCACTCTCTCCGAAGCCATACTCATACTCACGGAGTCCAATCTTGGCCAGGTGCAGCCTGTTGACCCAAGAGATCTTGCTCAGTGGATTGGGGGTGATGAAGACCACCATGAAGCTGATAGGGCGGCCGGACCTGCAGCAACAGGGTGATGGGAGCCAGGATGAGTATCCGGCATGTGGGCCCAGCTCCCCTAGCTGTCCCCCAGCTGTCCCCTCACAGTGCCCCGATAGTCCCCTGGCTCCCCTCCAGCTCCAACTTAAACCCATGTGCCCAGGGACATGGAGGGTGGTCTGCTTGGAGGCTCCACAGAGCACAGCCAGGCAAAACTCAGGCTCCAGGAGAGTCCCCTTTGCCCACTGTGGCCCTGCTCTGTGCCCAGCAGGCAGGTCTGCAGGCTCTGACTCCCCTGGGGCCATCTTGTCACCAGCCTTGGCAGATGCCTACATGTGAAACCCAAGCCTCCTGAATGAGAAAGGGGTCTCGCCCCAGCACCTGGCTCAAGGCAGCTGCCCAGTAAAGGTTCACTGAGTGGCTTTGTGAGTGAATCAAGAAACAAATGAGGGACTGGCATGGTGACATAGTGGGTAAGGTCACCACCGGCAATGCCACTTCCCATCCAGCTCCATGCTAATGACCTGGAAAAAGCAGCAGAAGATGGCCCAAGTGCTTGGGCCACTGCACCCTAGTGGGAGGCCAGGAGGAAGCTCCTGACCCCTGGCTTGGGTGTGGCACGGCTCTGAGCATTGTGGTCATATGGGAAGGAACCAGCAGTTACAAGATCTGTCTCTCTCTTTCTCTCATATGGGAAGGAACCAGCATATACAAATAATAAATAAATAAATAGATCCTTAAAAACAAGCAAAAGAAAAGGAGTGGGCCCAGCACAGACCCAGGGCAGCCAGAAGTCGCTGCGGTCACCACGCTGTCCCCCCTCGTTGGCACAGGGCCCCTGGCAGTCATTTGGGGACCTGTTCTCTGCTGTGGATCATCCCAGCCCCCTGGGAACTGGGCAGGGCAGCATCTCTGAGCCTCGATTTGCACAGGGAGAAGGGGTACATGGTTGAGGTTGCGGGGACAGGGGGAAGACATGGATGGCAGCCCCCACTACTAATGCCCCCACCAAGTCCCCAACACTGCTTTGAGCCCCTCTTCCTCACGACTGTCACCCTGGCAATGCTGGGTCCCCATTCTAGAGGCCAGCACCTGGGCTGTGATCCCCCACCGCCAACACATACACACACTGCCCAGCTTATCAGAACCCAGCTCTACCCCTTATGAGGCCCTGGATCTGATGTGGAACTCTGAGCCTCAAATTTTTAATCTGTAAAATGGCCAGAATGGGGTCCATCCCACAGGTACCTTCCTGGCCAAGATGCAGGTATGACCCCGGGGGCACAGGAGGAGGGGCCCCAGAGCCATACACAGGCCCATGTGGGGAACAGGATGATTACACGGCTGGAACTAAGCCACGGCCATGTCGGAGCATCCTGGGACCGGCCCCACCAGGCAGTGAAGCAGCACCTTGTCCACTCATACACTCACAATCTGTGTGCAGCACCTGCTATGTGCCAGCTGTGTGCACGGCCCCTCCCACACTGACGGACGGGAAGGTCTCCCCGGCCCCACCCTGACCCCCAGCCCTGTCCCTCACTTGTCGGGCTTTCCCGGGAGCAGCAGCCGGAGGCGGCACTTGTTGGCCGAGTGGATCTCTTCCTCTTTCACTCGCATCAGCCTCTGCAGCGCCAGGCACCAGTCTTGAGCCACGGTCATGTTCAGGTTCTAGGATTGGGGAGGTCGGGAAGGTGTTCATCACCCATGCTGGCTCCCCAGGGCCACAGTAGATGTGCCAGCAGTCACAGTGGGTGGCCAGCTGGAGAGGAACCAACCAGGAGGGCATCCGGACCCTCAACAGGATGGCTCACTTAGCTGTGCGTGGGGGAGCAGCGCCCCGTGCCCGGACTCCCCAGCCCTGGCTGCAAGCCCCCAGGGCAGCTGTCCTCTTAGGGTCTCCACTCCAGCCAAGGGTCCAGGCCCAGGCAGGGCAGCGAGTCAGTGGGGGCTACTGTGCAGAGAACACAACCATGCCCCTCACTGGGGACCCCTCACCTGGCACCTGGCACCGGGGCAGGCCACAGTGGCTGTGTGAGCTCAGAGCCAGAGGCATACGGGGGCTTGCAGGGGGCAAGAGCGGTGCCCTCCCTGGCTCTGCCCACAGGAGCAGCTCGGGGCCCGGGCATGTACCTGGTAGGTGCCGTGCAGCGTGCTGACAAGTAGTGTAATCTGCTCCACCACGGCCAGGTCCTTCTGCAGGTCCTGCAGCTCCTGGAAGAGGCGTGGGGGGCCGAGGTACACCTTGTCTGGGCAGAGGAAAGACCCAGCTCAGTCTCGGGGGACAAGGTAGGCACACCCCAGGGACCAAATACACACTTGTGGCAAAGTGCATGTGTCCTAGAGGGAAACATATCAGGGTTCTTGCCCCAGCTGAGTCTGGGAGACCTACGTATCCCCAGGCACCGTCTTACGGCCTGTGTTAGGGGTCATAGAAGACTGTAAAACTGAGTCCCAGCTGTGCCAGGAAGAGGAACACGTGCAAGGGCACTGTGGCTCAAGAAAGCTTACAACCAGCAAGGTGCTCAGAGACACACCAAGGGCCTACTTGGCCTGGTTCTATGCTTGGCATTAGAGAGGCAGCGGCCACAAAGTGGGCAGGGGTCCTGCTCTCCTGAAACCAGTGACCTGGGCAGAGTAGGAGGACGCAGATGGCAGAGGGTGCTAGCAAGAAGGCGCCAGGGTGGAGAGACATTGGTGGGAGTGAGACAAAGGCAGGATGGAGGATGAGGGGCTGGTGCAAGAGGGACCTGGGAGCCGGCACACCAAGCCAAGAAGCTGGGCTGTGTTCCCCGAGCTGTGGTTCCCCAGAGGTCTTAAGGGAGCCCGGGAAAGCAGGGGAGAGGCCTCTCAGGGGCCTCTGTTGAGACAAGCAGCTCAAACACGCATGCTCGCCCTAGGTCACCTTGTTGTCGACTATAAAGTCGCCTCCTACCGCACGCTGCCAACGGTGGCCAGTGAACGCGCAAGGAGCAAGGCAGGCTTGGGGTGTGAGTGTGGTCCTCACAGCCCTCCAGGGTGACTCACACGTAGGAGCGGCTGGGAAAGGCGCCCCTCCCGTGGGGACCCCAGGGCCCTGGCACCTAGTGAGAAGCCGTACCACCAGGGAGCATCAGTGAGCAACTGGACTCCAGCTGAATGTCATCAACTATCATGTTAAACTAACGCTGTTCATCTGAATTTCCTGGTTTTACAGCCTGCCTAGTATTGAGTTTGTGATTCTGTGCTGCCTTTACGGTTGTTCAAAGGCTGTAGGCATAAGGCATTGAGGACAGCGAGCTGTATGTCCCTACAAATGATACAGTGATAACAAAAGCACTTCTAGGCCACCTGTGGTGGAATCCCCCCCCCTTTAACGGGGGTCTGGCAGGGGCTGGCACTGTGGCACAGTGGGCTGAGCTGCCACCTGCGATGCCGATAACCTGTACTGGAGGGCGAGTGTGAGTCCTAGTTGCTCCCCTTCCAATTCATCCCCCAAAGCAGGAGAGTATGGCCTGGTAACTGGATCTCTGCCACCCATATGCGAGACAGAGACGGATTCCCAGGCTCCTGGCTTCAGCCCGACCCCAGCTACTGCAACCACTTGGGGAGCAAACTAGAAGACAGAAGTGCTCTATGTCTTCCAAATGAATAAAAAATTTTAAAAGAACGGTTAAATTAAGGGGGGCTAGCAGGAGTGACTCCACTTTTGGGGATGCAGCTTTACAGAGGAGGGCGTCCCAGGGCAATGGGCTCAGCTTAGGGCTGCTGGTGCCTCCCACAGAAGCCAGCGGGCACTGGGGCCTCTGCGTCTCCCTGCCTTGCTGGCCTGCGGACAGAGCCGGCACCTGCAAGTGGGCACAGCTGCTCTGGCCCAGCCCCCATGGACGAGGACAGGTGGTGCAATCGCTGCCTTGGAATTCTCAGAGCTGTGGGCTGCCCATGCAACAACTCCCGGGTCAAGAGGTGGATAGGGCAACACGGGGGAGGGGAAGTGAAACCCGAGGGCCTTCCCTCATGGCAGGTGCTCCTGGGCACAGCGGCACTTTGTGCCAGCTCTGCAATTCAGCACGCTTCCTGCACGGATGGGACGTGCGTGAGCGTCCACCCCGCCCCAGGCTCCAGGCAGAACCACAGCAGAGCAGGATTGGCACGAGGAGGAAGTGCTAAAGGAGATAAAATAAGCCAGAGTGAATTGCACAGTACTGGCCAGAGACTGGACAGAAGTATGGGCTATGGCGAGGCCATGGAGGAAGAGCGCATGGCCCAGGCAGGAGCCCAGAGAAGCTAGCACAGCCGGAACTGATGGAGGTGGGAGGCACCCTGGGTGGTCTTGATCCTAAAAGGCCTGGGGAACAGCTGGGGTGGCAGGCAACAGCCAGCTCCGGACCTGGGTTGGGGAGCATTGTGGGGAAACAGCCAAGAAGGGACCACGCGAGACACAGAGGACAAGGCCACCCTGACATAACCATTGTTCCCCTCACTGCCCCACAAACTCAGTGGGAACTGGGCAATAGGGCCCAGGCGGAGCAACCTGATGTCCCCTCTGGGCGTGTGGGGGGCAGGCTAGGAGTCACCTGGGCCCCCCCACTGTACAGGGAAAGACAGAGGAAAGAAACCTCTCTGAGGTCCCATAGGAGAGTGGGCAGTGGCTAGGCAGGAGCTGGAGGTCATGCATGTGTCTGCGGGAAGGCATCCCGGGACCAACCTTGTACAGTGTGTGTGGCCCAGGCAAGACTAGCAGGTGCATGGGCACACACTCCTGAGACCACCACCCAAGGGGTGTGGTGGGGAGGGTGGGGCGGGCACTCACTCTGGGCCTGCCCCGCGGCAGAGGCCTTCTTGGCGCCGGCGTGCTGGATGAGGACATTGTCCTTGTCATAGGCGCTGCCCTCCTGGCCCACCTCCACCACCTGCACCTGTGGCAGCGCCGTGTTCCACTTCACCACGTACTTGGGCCCCAGTGGCACCAGGCTGCTGATCTCCAGCTGGCCCCTGCGTGAACAGAGAGGAGGACGTGTCTTGCCAAGCCCACTGCTGTCACATCCCCTTTGGGCCAGCCCAGGGCGCATGCTCTGCATGGCACACCGCTCCACACACCAGCTCAGCCAGGCTGATCTGCACAGCCCAAGCACGTGACCTCAGGCCCACACCAAGCCGAGTGGAGCAGAGCGGCAGCCCTCACTGCGGCAGAAGCACCCTCAAGCCCAGGCCCAGCACCAGAACCAGGACTGCGCAGCCCACACTCAACAACCACCTACCTGTGATGGGCGGGCCTGAGGGAAAGACAAAAGGCAAGGATGTCACTGTGACAAAGCCATGACCTCGGGGGACCCCTGGGCAGGGCATCGGGGGGGGTGAAGGAGGGGCAGGGAGCGCCTCCCTGGCTTGGGCTTGTGTCATCCCTGATGTCATAGCCCTGCTGCCAGGCAGCTTGTGGGGGACCAGGCGAGGAGACCGAGGCTCAGCTGGGCTGTGTGACTCGGCCCCTATCAGCCACACTGAACTTCCCCAAATAGGACCACTAGCATCCCGCTCTAGCTCTGAGCCCCGGGAGGCTCACGGGGCCTCCCCCACATGCACAGCACCCACTCGGGGGCCCAGGACACAGCTGACGCTTACGAACAATAGGGCCTTGGATTTGTGTTGTAGCGCATCAGGTTAAGCTTGCCATGCCAGCATCCCACAGGAGCGCAGGTTCAAGCCCCTGCTGTTCCACTTCTGACCTAGCTGCGACTAACTCCTCTGGCTGTGGTGTGTGTGCTGGGAATGGAGGGTCTGCCGTGGAGCTGGCTGCACAGGTCCCAGCGAGGGAGAGGACCAGAGATCCCTGACACCCTGCAGGGGATGCTGAGGGGCTTCAGCTGTGGGGGTCTGACTCCTGGCCTGTGTGTTCCCTGGCGTGTGAACCCTAAGATCTGATAGCCACATTTCCCTGAGGAGTTCAGTGTCTCAGCTCCTGGGCCACCCTTGGGGCAAGGCAGGCTGGTGCCCAGGGAGTGGGCCTCCCAGCTCTGGGGCTCCCCATTCTCCCAGGTGCAGACTGGCATCTGGGATCTGGAACTAGGACAGCAGGTTGGGCAGACCGAAGGGTGCCTCCAGAGGACAGGGAAGGGGTGGGGGCAGGGAAAGGGCGGAGCAACAGAGCAGCGGTCTGGGTGGACACAAGCAGGAATCCTTGTATTTCAAAGTGGTCAAGGCCCAAGAGGCTGCTGGGCCCCTCTTCAATGCCCGGCCACAGCTGGACACTGCCTGGAGACATCTGTCCAGTGCTGGGGACAGTGCCAGAGCAGGTAGAGGAGGGTGGAGGGAAAGACAAAATACGGGAGATTTAAGCAGGGCTCGTGTGGGACCCCAGCATGGAGAGGCCGGCCATGAGATGGGGGTACACCAGGACAGTGTACACAGCCCCCCACAGTACCCCCATCCCCCGCAGGTGCGCTCACTTGAAGTTGATGTTGGCACAGACCAACATGTCGTTGAGCAGGAAGACCCTGCGCTCCTTGGACTTGATGAGCTGCCCACGGTCTCCGTACACCGTCTCCGTCAGCGTCTCGCACAGCAACAGCTGCCGCTGGCCTGAGGTCAGCAGCTGGGGAAGAGGGGGAACAGTTCAACCACGCAGCCCAGGCAGCCCCCCACACACACTGCAGTGGCCCAGGCCTTGACCAACCTGCCCGTGCAGGAGCCCGGCCCAGCAACCAGCACCCCCTTCTCGGGTGAGCAGCCACACCGGCCCCTCTTCACGAGGGTCCTGTACAGAACGGCCATGAGCACGGGCTCCCCAACCCTTGCCGCTTGACCTTGTCCGTGACACCTGCGTGAGGCTCAGCATCTGCAGGTGTGGCAGGGAGTCAACCACGACCGCTCAGAGCCCACAAGGTCATGCCTGGGGCGCAGGTCCAGCTACTGCATTCATAGAGCCCAGTGCAACATGAAAACATGGGCCACTGATCCCATGCTGGTATGGAGGTCGGGAGCTTGGGGCCGCAGGTGACACGTGTGATGCCAGCATCTCACAGGGGACTGAGTTTCAGTGCCAACTGCTCTTTGCGCTCTGTGCGCTCACTTGAAGTTGATGTTGGCACAGACCAGCATGTCCGGCTCCCTGCCACGATGGAGTTCCTGGCTCCCGGTTTCAGCCTGGCCCAGTCCTGGCTGCTGAAGCTATCTGGGAGAGTGAACCACCAGATGGAAGATCTCTCTCTCTCTTTGTCATTCTGCCTTTCAAATAAACAGATTTTTGTAAAAAAAAAAATGATATGAATTTCAAAATGGCACCAGCAGAGCATTAGGCCGGGTGCGAGGCTCCTCCCAAGGATAAGCCTGTGACGACACAGCTTACAAGCCCTGGGTGTGGTGACTCCACGGTCACCCGCCGGCCTGCCGCGGCCATCCCTACAGCCTTCCCCTGGGGGGGCGCGGCCTCTGCCAGGCCATTCTCCAGGAAGTGGTCCCTGGCGTGCAGAGCAACCCTGCCCCCTCCCCATGGCCTCAGGACTGGCTCAGATCAGACCCGCTGGTCAGTCACGCCTCAGCCCACCCAAGGAAATCTCTGTGTTCCTAGCCGGGAGCACAGACTGTCCAATAAAGCCTGTTCTCACGATCGTGACTCTGACAAGGTCCGTTAGGCTCCCCTTCTGTTCCCATCCTGCTGGAAAAGATCAGGTCACTCCAGAGCACCCCCAAAAAATCCCATTGTTCACCAAAGCTCTGTGCCCCCTCAAGTGATCACCCACTCAGCCACGGGTCCGTGTGGCACCCAGAGCCCAGTGTGTGCCAGTCCCTGCAACGGCACCTGACATGGCCCAGCACAAATCACACAATCAGATCAGCAGCCCACTGCCCACCCCCAAGATGAGGAAAGCAAAGACGCAGGGGTAAAGCCAGGAGCTACTGGTTGATGCCAGGGCAGGCCCCTGCACCATGGCAACCCTTCTGACCCCTGGAGCAATCGGGGTCTCTCTGGGGTCCCCCATGGGAGCATGACAGGAGTACTTGGCCTCCGAGGACAGCAGGGACACGACGGGCAGATGAACCACAATGCTAGGATCCAGGCCTGGGAGGAGGGAGGCCCCTGGGCTGCTGGCAGCCATTCCCTGCCCCAAGACAGAGTGTTAAGAAGGAAAGGAAAATGCCGACGTGGCACAAAATTCCCGCGGAGACTCCTGAGTCGGCGGTTTTAAAAGAGCCGGCCTGGTTCGCTCTCGGCCACACCCAGTTTCATTTCTGCTTCTTCCCGGGTGATGGCAGGAGGCAACTGGCTGGACGGGTCTTGACGTGGGCCGAGAGGCCCAGGGAGGACCCTGGAGGGGCAGGCGTGGCTGGCGGCCACCACCGAACACTTCCTATCACATGTGGCCAGCTCAACCCATACTAGACCAGATGGGGAAACTGAGGCTTGGGGCGTCCCGTCCCTCACTGGGCATCCAAAGGGTCCACTTGACCTCCAGCCAGTGGGGCCAGCACATATGTTTGCCCAGGTCACCGTGGGGACATGGTGGAAGAGAAAGGAGCAGCACCTCTTGCTGCACCTGTACAGGTGCACAAGCCAAGGGAGACGCCTCGGTCACAGAGAAGAGCTCAAGTTGGAGCCTCTCCTCCAGACACAGGCTGCCAAAACCTAGGCTATGTGGCAGGGAGGTAGAGGTGTTGGGGAAGGACCCCTGCCCCCACGCCCAGTGAGTGACCCTGGACTGGGGCCTCCCTGTTGGAAAATACTCCACCCCAGCTGGTCTTTTCTTCCCTAATTTATCCCCCTGGGGCAGCAGGTCCCCTCAGCAGGAAGCAGCAGGAGTAGCAGTGAACATGGTGGGGTCCAGGAGAGAGAATCCTTACAGCTCCAAGTGAGGTATGAGAGCTTGGCAAAGACAGCCCGGCCTGGCCTCCCTCAGAGTGCTGCCACCTAGTGGGCGGCCAGGAGCCACAGGTGGGACACCTGCCCCGACGGCCGAGCTCACCTTGTTGAGGCTGCTACGGTCGCTCACGCTCTTGGTCAGCTGCTGGATCTCAGCCACCTGGTCCGCCAGCCGCTTCTGCTCGTTCAGCTTCTCAGCCAGCGTCTCCAGCTCCGTGAGGGCCAGCTGCAGCGAGAGCCTGTCGGGGTGGCCCCTGGGGGTGTTCTTCAGCATGTCCTGTGAGGGCCAGGCAGAGGCATGGCTGAGGACGCCCCATGCCCACGGCGCAAAGCGTCAGGACAACAAGGGGTTCAGCTTACAGCGGGGACAGAGGAAACCGTACAGAGAAAGGCTCAAAGATCTGCTGAGCGGGACACCGACATCCCATATGGGATTCAGGGCTGGTGCACCTGGGAAAGCTGGGGAGCGTGGCCCGAGGCTTCGGCCCCTTCACCCACATGGAAAAGCCAGATGGAGTTCTAGGCTCCTGGCTTCAGCCTGGCCTAGCTCCAGCTGTTGCAGCCATTTGGGGAGTAAACCAGCAGGTGGAAGATCTAGCTCTCTCTGTCTCTCTCTAACTCCACCTTCCAAATAAATTTTTTTAAATGGCTATGAGGGTAACATATAAACAAATATGCTGATGGATACTAACTGGTCGGTGGCTTAGATCAGAACCCATCTACTGCCTGGATGTCTGAGGATGGAGAGAGAGTCACCACTGGGACCCCAGCCTGACACCTACGCCCTCAGCTTCCAGGGGACAGGGGCCCTGACTGAGGAGGACACTCAGGTGCCCTGGGCTTCCGGAGCCTGTCCTGCAGCTGAGGCCTGAATGAGCCCGGCTCAGTATAGTCCCCAGGCCCCTCCCCGCTGGCTGCAGCCTACAGGTCCTGGACCTGGAGCCTTCACTCCTTTCCCAGGCCTGGATTCAGGGCACCCGATGCAGTAGGCACAAAGTGTACCAGAGCGTAGGACCAGCTCCACCAGGGGTGCACAGAAGAGGCCAGAGCCCCAGGACAGGCGGCGAAGGGTGGGGAGAGGGGGCAGGCTGTGGGTCACAGATGAGAGCAGCCGCCCCCACTCCACCCGGCCTACACTCCATGGGTGAGGGTGGCAGGTGTCATGGGTGGTACCTGCAGCAGGAGGATGAACTGTGGAAACCTCTGGATGGGCTTCACCATGAGCCCATAAAGAGTGACGCGGTCCGGACTGCACACCTGCCGTCTCTGTTGGAGACAAGGCCACATCACTCGCTGACCCTCTGTACTGAGGGCCCGACACCCCAGCGTGCACAAAGTCCTGGTCCTGATCAGCCCCAGGCCTGGGGAGGAAAGCCCAGGCCGGTTCCCCTAGTCCACAGCCAAGGATACCTTCCACCCCTGACCCTCGGGACGCCCAGCCTGGTTCCATCCTCACGCTCTTGACCTCTGACCTGTGTCCTGCTCTCCCAGCTCCTAGAACACCCTCTCTCTGCCTCTACCGGTTTCAATCCCCAACACCCCCATCCCGGCTCCCTGCGAGGACCATGTCAGCTGGCAGCTCCCTGAGAAAGCCCCTCCCAATCCCGTGTCCTCCAACCGGGACTCATCGCGCACCCTTTGAGTGACAGAGGCTCCCCACAGTTGGGGGGCTCTGCCTGACTCCCTGGGCCAGGCCCACACATCAGCCCCTGACCCCCAGGCTTGCCCATGGCAGATCCCCCTGCACACACAGGTGCCAGGGCCAAGGACTCCCCTTGTACCCCAGGAGGCTCTAGGATCCCAGCTGCTAAGTAAGACACGACCCCGTCCCCACCTCCTCCCAGGGGGTGAGGTGTCCCAGCACAGGTTGCGACATGATGCTCGAGGCGAGGCTCCCCATTGCCAGTGCGCAGGTGACAGGTGGCCCTGGGCTGTCCCACACACACCTTGAGGAACTCGAGAAAGGCAGGCTTGGTGAGACAGGCCTTCTTGATGATGGACATGGCATTGGTGAAGTTGTTCACGTAGTCACTGTACACATCCAGCACCATGGACTTGGAGAACTGAAACGAGGCAGGTGCGGGCCGAGCGGAGAGACTGAGTGGCCCCACACCCACTCATGTGTGCCACCCGTGGGTGCAGCCAGTCTTTCAAAAGAAGGACCTCATCCCGTGGACTCAGGTGAGGCGACCTGCTCGGGGAGGCACAGACCCAGGAAGTCTCTGCCTGCCCATGCTGGCTTCCCAGGCAGCAGCTGGAGCCCCAGGGATGGCAGGGGAGGGCAGGGACGTGCCTTCTGCTGCATTCATTTCCTCCCCATGGCCAGGAGCCAAAAGGTCCCTGGCCGAGGTGGCACATGTGGGCTGAGCTGAGGGTGGAGACCACACCGGCAGCCCCTGGGACCCGCAAGTGCAGGAGTCAGGTTACTCAGCAGGCCTGCATGGTTTGTCCTCTTCCCTACCCAATCCCAACATACTGCAATAGACCAAAACATTCATTAACTGCACCCTCCCTCGCCCCAGGAAGCTCTGGGGGCCACAGACTTGGCATGCCCACTTATTCCACACATGGTACCCCTGAGCCCTGCCTGAGGTAGAGCAACGGGGCTGGGACCAGACCTGGGCTGGGACCCAACGCTTCTGCCCCAGCACTAAGGGGCCTCTCCCTTGGGGTTGAGGGCAGAGTCTGCGGCCACGTGTCACAGTGGCGGGTCACTCCAGAATGGGAAAAAGCTTGCGACCTGCCAGGTGGCTGCCTGCAGTGACCTGTGCCACTGGCACCAGTGGGACATGTGAACACTGCGAGTTGTCACACCCACCCCCCAGCTTCGGCCCTGCCTCCCTCAGCTCCCACCACCTTCAACAGGCCAGCAGGTGGGAATAGAGGCAGGGGGTCTGGCTGGAGGTCAGAGGACTGGAGGAGACTTGAAGACACCTACTGAGGCCACAAAGAGGTCCCCGATCTTCTCGGTGGAGTCCCACTCGGCCACGCGGGAGGACAGGGCGATCTGGAACATGGAGTGGCAGTGCAGGATCTCCTTCACGCGAAAGAACACAGCCTGGCACTTGCGCGCGCTCAGCGCCTTTGGCTCCATCTCCATCAGTGGATTGCGGTAATCCTGCCAGGGCAGGCGTGGGAAGCAGGTGTGTGAGACCAAGCCCCCTCCCTCCAACCCTGCCTTCAGGACACCCAGACAGGGCTGAGGCCAAAGATGAGCCAACTCCAAGGAGGTCTTCCTGTTACGGGGGTGGGGGGAAGGAGGTGGGAACAGGTGTCCCTCACTCTGCCTGAGTCCTTCAGGAAAGACCTTTGTGAATGTGGCACTCCTGACTGACTCTCTAACCATCTGTACCGTGTGACCCTAGGGCTTGGGAAGAAGTGGGTCTTGCACATTCAGGAGCTCCATGGATGGACCCCGGTGTGGCCGGTCCTCCTTGGTCCTTTCAGGTTGACCAGCCCACAGACCTGGCACCCCCAACTGTCCAACCAGCTGGGTCAGAAACAAGGGGTACTTCCATCTCTGCCTGCCTGACTGCTCCCCCTCTCTGTGGCTCTGACCTCGGGAAGCGGGGCATTCACACCCCCCATCCCTACACATCCCTCAGCATTGGCCTCACTCCAACAACCACGCCCACCTTGCAAGTAAATGTGTACATTTTTTTTTTTTCAATTAAAAATTGAAATAAAGTAAGTGTCCGTTTTTGGCCTCTTTCGTTAAGTGGCTCACAGGCCCCAGGCCCTGTCAAGTGTGCTGCAAGGGCCTCCCTGACCCTGCCCCAGAATCCTCCTGCCTCCCCCCACCGCCCACACCCTGGCAGTCTCCGAGATCACACCTGCAGTATCCGCTTCAGGGAGTCCACGTAGCTGCCTTCGCTCTGCACGATGGAGCCCAGGATGTGCCTCCGGACCACCTATGCAGGGCACAGTGTCGTCAGTGCCCCAGCACCTGCTATAAGCCAGCACCCGCCACACTTGAGGCCTTTGGAGGCAGAAGGGAGCTGACACCGTCACACCAGGGCCCGAAGGACAGCACCACCTTCCCTAGCCCTGGCAGACTCAGAACTGCAACACTGCCCACCCTGCTGAGCTGGGCAGAGGGCAGTGCCCCAGGACCAGCCTTGCCCAGCCTCTGCTCACTGCTCCGTGGTGTTGGCAGCTCCTGATCTTTGGAGGACTCTAACAGAACACTTACAGACTGAACTGAAACCCCAACCTCGTGCCACTGGCTGCAGTCAGAAGCCTCAAGCCATTGTCTCCATAAAATGGTCCTGGTGCCGGCCACCTCTCTGGGGTCTCCATGTCAGGCCACACTTGGCTAGTCCCTCTCTGTGCCCTCTATGGCCACCCAGGCCTCTCCTCAGCAGGGGCCCGCAGCCCTGCACTGCTCCAGCAGCTTGGCTGTGCAGGGACCCCATCCCCCAGCTGCAGTTGACCAGTACGCGATCAAGCACACTGCCTGGGCCCCCCCACATCTGCAGGGAGCACTGCGTCCAGACGCCCCCACACGCTGGAATCACACGTGGAAGCTGTCCCTTGGCTCCCACCCTGGGCATTCTGATCTCATGAGGACAATGTGGAGCCTGGGTTTTGGGTTCTTTGGCATCTGTAGTACAGTGCAATAAGGCTGGGTCAACGCTTGGAGACAGTATCCAAGGTGGCAAGTCCCCAGGGATCCGGCATAGAGCACAAGAATGTTAGAGGGCCGAACAACTTCAGTAACTGTCAGGGCTGCAGAGGGAGGTCGTGGCCACTGCCAGGAGCAGAGGGTACATGGGCAGAGCTGCAGGCTGGGGCATCCCCACCTCACACGCCATCTGGGCAGGCAGACGGCCATGGGCTGGACAGCGAGTGTTTCGAGGAAGGGTTGCTCCCTGCCCTGGGCTCCAGTCATAGCTAGCGGCAGCCATACATGTGTGCCACGGCGGCTCTACCTTCCTGCTCTCCACAAGCAGCCAGGGCCAGAGTGCTCTGCCGAGCTTACCACGGGCACAGCCCTTCCGCCAAGCCTGCCACCCCGGCACGCCTCACTGCAGCCCCACGTGCAGAGGACAATGGGGAACCAACACCCTGTATTTCATGCTGGCAAAACCCAGAGTGGAAGGGCTAAGAAGGGACTCGGGCCAGGTCCCTGCGCAAAGCTCAGTCTCAGTGTGAAGCTCTGAAGGCCGTGTGGATCCCTGCCGGACAGACTCCCACCTCGGCCTCTGGGGGCTCAACTCCCAGGAGTTCTGTCATCACTGGACACCCATGCCCTGTGGTCTTCCTCGAGCGGGTGCTGCAGTGTGACAGCCCCTCCCTCCGGAGCTAGAACAGTCCACAGGATGGGGTAGAGGGGACCCCTCAAATGCTGGCATTCCCCACCCTCCACATACCAACAACATGGAGCCCATAGGGTTCCACCAAGAAAGCCTACAGATACAGCTAAGAAGACAGGCCTGGGGAGCCCCCCGGCCCACACAAAGCCTGAATCCTCTCTTCCCTTCCTGAACCAGACCAAAGCGGGTCCAGAGAGCAGGCTGGGATCCTGGCTGTCCCTCCTATGTGTCCCCCCGACACACACACACACACACACACACACACACACACACACACACACACACACCTGCTGAGGGCTCAGGCCATCCGGCATGGGGCCCAGCTCTGGGGCTGGGGGCTTGATGTCCGTCACGGCGACCTCCAGGAGTCCCATGTCCTCCTCCTCCGAGTCACCTGGGGAGTCAAACAGTGGTGATGACACGGTGAGGTGGGGACAGCACACACTGGCCTGTTAATGATCCACTCTAACAGGGACCCAGAGCCACCCCAGACCAGCCGAGGGTTGGGGTCCTAGGGGAGGATCAGCGCCTGGGACCATGTGGGATTAGAGCTGAGCTGCTGGCTGGTTCAAGGGCTCAGGGCTCCATACCACAGCCTGGGAGCGCCAGCAGTAAAGCCAGATGCACGTGAGCGAGTGAGTGAGCGAGTGGACGGGGAGGGAGGAGAAGGCAGCGTCCGGCCGGGCCTGGGCTCTCAGAATTCACCGAGCCAGGAGTCACTGGCCCTGCTCAGACCCGCTGTCCTGGCCGGGAGATGGCCAGCCGTCACAGCTCCATTCCTAGCCACTAAAAATAGTTAGCTTTGGGACGCCAAAGCAGGGGATCAACAAAAGTAAACCCCGAGAAAAATGGGGCACTTCGGCTTTGGAATTTCATTTTTTATTTAAAACAAGGAATGCAAAGACCCAAAAGAAGGAATAGTTCAAGTGGAGTGGGACAGGGATTCCCTGCCATGAGCGGGGTAGGACCGGGACTGGCAGAGTGGAGGAGGGCAAATGCAGGGCCTGTCTCAGACCCTGGGATGTCCCGACCCCCACGAGACAGATGTGGGCATCACGGGATGGGACCCCAGCTGCTCAGCAGCAGCCGCACGCAGCAGGAAATGGGTGCTGCTGCCAGGACACGGGGGTGGGGGGGAAGCAGCAGTAATGCCAGGGGCAGAGGGAGCTGGGACAGCAGGGTGGTGGGGGTGGGAGGCTTACCTGAGCAGGAGACGGAGGAGGAAGAAGAGGAGGGACAGCGGACAACCGCATGGGCATGGGGGTGGTGGAGGCTCTCCTGCCTGGCCCACATGATGCCCTGGGCATCACTGCGCACCCACCCCAGCCGCCAGGCCCGCGGCTTCCTCTTCCCCCACGCACCGCTGCTGGGCAGCATTCTTGGCCGGTGATTTGAGCCCGGCCGCAGCTATTAATAACGCCCCAGGGGGGTTGGGTCAGTTCAGGAAAGGCTCCGGGTTCACGGGCTGGGTGGGGAGGGTGACCCAGACACTGTCCCCAGCCAGCTGACCTGTTGTCGAGGGGTCCAATGTGCTCCAAAAAGGGTGGAGCAGCCTGAAGATTTGCTGAGCACCCTGGAGCACCGCACACACTGGTGCACGGAGAGAGGGGATTTCGACCCAGTTTGTGGGTGAGGGACCAGCTGTTCCCAGGGGCGAGAGCTGTGCGGGATCTTCAGAAGGTCGCAGAGCCGGAACAATGCTGTTCTGGCCACACAGGGCTCTCCGTGTCCTGTCACAGCACCCCTCACCAGCCAAGGGGCACGGGTGACCCTCGCTGGAAGCTCACACTGCTTCTCGTAAACCAGGCTGGGCACTGGGCATCCCCCCACCCTCCAATGAGGCACTGAGCTCTCCCGCCTGCGCTAGACGAGTGGCCCTCCCCCTGCCCCGCCCCCGAGCAGTGCCTCACCCAGGACATCTTTCCGATGCAGGAAGGAGACTTTGCGCATGACGGCCATCCTCGTCTTTTCCAGCCCATCCTTCGTCCCGCTCTTGGCGGCCTTCATGAGCTGGGTCATCTGAGAAAGGCACACAGGGGCCACCAGCGGCCATCAGCCTCACCACCTTGGCCTGGCTGCAGACCCGGGAACCACCACAGCCCATTCCCCATTCCACGCCATGAGCCACAGTGGGAGGTGAGCCGGCTCCGGGGGGCTTCTGGGGGGCTTCCTGGGGGCAAGGGGAGGTCCAAACCTGATTTTGCTTCCTTTAGGATAAACTACATGATCAGATGTCCAATGAAGGGGATGGTGGGACAGAGGACAGGCTAGAGCAGGCTGGAAATTCTGGACCTGGGTTCAAATCCCAGCTCTGCCACTTGTTAGCAAGAAGACAAGTCACATAACCTTCCTGGAACAGCTTCCCCAGGCCACAGCGATAGCGCCCAGGCCACAGCGACAGCGCCCAGGCCACAGCGACAGCACCCAGGCCTAGGAAGGCTCTCTGACCAGCAAGCACAATCGCTGTGGGATCTTCCAGGGGTAAGGAAGAGGAAGTGAGTGTGTGCCCCCATGTCCTCCACTGAGCCCACACAGGCCTCCCTCCAGTGCCCCCACGACAGCCAGCTTCTTCCTGAGTCCACTACCTGGGGGGTGGTGAGGAGGAGGGGGAATCCAGAGAGAAGGCTGCACCTGCCAGCAAGCTGAGCAGGTGAGGCACAAGGCATACCAGAAGGGGGACAGGGAGCCAGCCACAGCACGGAGGACAGCACGGAGGACAGCGCTGTCCCCCGAATCACTTCTTATCCCCAGGCCCAGGACTTTCTCCCACAGGCTGTCCAGGGAACCTTCCACAGCGGTGGGGTGCTGGGGAGGGCTCCAGGTCTGCACAGCCCCATGCGGGAGTCACAGCTACAGACGGCTAGCAGCATCTGAAGCAGGGCCTGGACTCCCAGTGACAGCTCAGCTTAGTTCATTTCCACGAGTGGCTACATGACACAGCCACGGATGGTGTGGCTCTACAAAGACACCCTCCTTCCCAAAACCTGCTGAAGGTGGGGAGCCCTGATTTCAGGGAGCTCTCCAGGCTCCTCCATTCTGTCACCTCCCACCACCCTTCTTCTTAGGGGTCTGGGCCACAAAGGCTCTAAAGCCCCCACGGCTGAGGCTGGGGCCGGGAGGCAGGGCTGGTGGCTTTTCAGGAACTAGGGCTGACTTTCTGGAACCAGCCACAGGGAGAGGGGAAGTGAGGCCTCAGCCTTGCCTTGCATCTCTGCGGGTTGGAGCTGGGTGGGGAGGGCAGAAGTATATTTGATAATCTGCCAAGGGTGACGGGTGTCACCCCAGAAACCACATTCAGGGTACTATCCCTCTTTGGAGGGAAGGACTGGGACCCTTCTCCTACCGCAGCACAGCCCAGCACCCACCCTAGCTGCAGTGGGACTGCCTGACACACCCCCAAACTGGACTCGAGATGGACGGCATTTGAGCCCCTTCTCTGGGCCAACCTGCCACATCCCAGTTCCCACAAGCCCAGTCCTAGGCTTCACCCCTTGCTGACACCCACCCCACCCCCACCTTGCCCAGTCCTGCACATCAGGCACCTCAGGGAACTGCATGGCTTGGGTGCAAACTGACTTTCCCATTGGGGTGACCCCAGCTATGATATAGCAGGCAGCGCAACAGGGCAGACAACACAGGACTTAGGGGCATGGTAGACCCCAGTGGGAACGGCAGTCCTGCAGCTGATCACCAGCCAGCGACTTAAGCACAGACAGTTGCCACCGCAGGGTCCCTGGGGACTAGCCAGTCGGACACACAGACCATAACAGCAGCCACGTCTGTAGCGGAGCAGACCCTCCAGGCTTCAGCCCCACTGCAGGGTTGACATTGTTAATACCCCCACTGCCAGGCCGGCACTGCTTCAGCCACCATCTGCAATGTCAGTATCCGTATGGGGGCATGGGTTCAAGTCCTGGCTGCTCTGCTTCTGATCCAGGTCCCTAGGAAAGCAGAGCAAGACAGTCCAGGTGTTTGGGCTCATGCACCCACATGGAGACCTGGATGAAATCCCTGGCTCCTGGCTTAGGCCTGGGCCAGCACTTGCCATTGCAGCCATTTGAGGAATGACCCAGTAAATGGAAGATATCTCTTTCTCTTTTCCCCCATCTTCCCACCCTGACACTCTTTCAAATAAAGAAAAATAAAGCTTAAGGAAAAAAAGAAAGAAAAAAGAAAACCCCTCTTCTCAGGCCCTGAAGCCAACGCCTGGAGCACCGGGAACGTGGCCAGGATCACACAGTGAGGAAGCAGTGAGCATGGGGTGCAAGCCCAGGGCTGCAGTCCTGCAAGGCCCTTGTTTTTGGCCGTGACGCCCAGTAGCACAGGGAGCACAAGCCTCCACAATCCGCAGCATCAGCACTGGAAGCTTGGGTGCCTGGGAGGCGACGCTGTGAGTTCTCCCACAGACGCCCTTCCCCACATCTCTGGGAACACATCTCTGAGGGACAGACATGTCGACTGTACCAGTGCTCACGCTTCTCAAAGTGAGACCCAAACCACCCCAGGGCTGGTCGGGAGGCAGCCCCCCGAGGGCTTGCCCAGGACCTACAGGACAGGTGGCCCTGGAGGAGGAGTTCCGGAATTTGCATGTTCATGGAGCACCCTAGGTGGCTGTGAGCATCCCAAAGGTTGAGCCCCCACCCCCAGGGAATCCTTGGAGACCATGAAAGTTTCCCTCAAGGGTGCGGAGAAAGATGTCACCAAGAACACGGGGAGGGACACACTGGCTGACAGCACAGACATGGAGAATGGCCACGCACCAGGTCCCAGGGCAACGCAGGAGGTGGCATCCCGCCCTCCTTGATCCCCAGGCAAGAGGAAAGGCTGAGGCAGCTGCAGAGTGGCCAGCCTCCCTCTAGGACGCGGGAAGGATGTGGGGACAATACCTTACAATCGCACTTGTGCTTCAGCTCCTGCATGTCTCTCCCCCCAACTCTTAAAGCCAAGATGTCTTTCTTAGTCCTGGAGTATCTTTCCTTTAGCCTAGTCAGGTCTGGAGAAAGCTGGAGCCCCCAAGCGGCCAGGCAGAAGAAGAGCAGGTGAGAGGAGCAGGCAGGGCAGGGAGGAGACAAAACACAGACAACAGAGGAAAAAGGAGACTCAGGTCAAGTGGCAGCTGGACGACCCGGGTGGGCAGGCAGGCAGGCAGGTGGGCGGGCCCCAAGCAGCAGTCTGGCCAGCTCCTGTCTCGAGTGTGTTCCAACAGCTTCCAACCCAGCATGCCTGGCAGCTGGGAACTGGTCTGCAGCAGGGAATCCTGGTTGCTGGGGAGGAGAAAGAGGGGAACAAGCCCAGTCTCCCACCTTGGGGACAGGGACAACGCTCTGAGGATAAGGACTGTGTCTTCTCCCCACCTCTGGGGTGCAGCACAGGGCCTGGAACACAGGAAGTTCTCAGCGAGTCTGTGAGATGATGAGTGGGTGGACAGATGGATGGATGGGTGGATGGGTGGGTAGATGGGTGAGTGGCTGGGTGAGTGGCTGGGTGGGTAGGTAGATGGGTAAGCTGATGGGTGAATGGATAGGTGGATGGATGGATGGGTGAATGAGTGGGTGGGTAGGTAGGTGGATGGGTGGGTGACTGCATGAATGGGTGGGTGGGTGGATGAATGAATGGGTGGCACATTCATCAATGAGCAGGATTGAGGGGCACAGGGGGATAAATGGGCAATTGCATAGAAAGATGGTTGAACAGATAGAGCCAGGGTTTGACAGATGGACAGATAACAGACAACTGGGGCAGGTTCACGGCTGCCTGGAGGCATAGAAGGGACATATAGATGAACAAATAAATAAATAGATGGATGAAGAGAAGTCAGATGAAGGGATAAAAAGGATGGCTATCTGCATGCATGGATGGGGGGTGGGTGGAGAGAATAGTAACAATCATTTTCCAGGACAAAGAGCCTCACTTTGTTGCATTTCTACAGTGTGAATACCCTCACCATGGTCAAACTCAAGCTAGCAAAATAACATCATTGAGTGTGGATACTTAAAAAGCACACAACTGATTCTTGAGTTCTTATGAGGTAGCACAAGCCAGCTGTGGCACACCACGAAAGGAAGGAGGGGATTCGTGGAGGGCAGGATGAATGGATAGACGGGCAGGGAGTCATTGGATGAGAGTGAATGCATGGATGCGGGGAGGACAGATGTGACTAGAACAGATACTTGCATGCATGGCTTACATGAGCAACACTGCTGTGTGGTAAGATGCACAGAGGACCAAGACAGGCAAGCGCTCTGGAGACACAGGTGAGGGGGCTAAGAGCCTAAGCCGGCAGGCAGGCAAGCCTCCGTCGCACACTGGCACCCTGCCTACCAGCCGGAAGTCTCCTTACCTCTGGTCAAGCGGCCGCAGCCAGGGCCACTTCATAGGGTTGTTGACGTTAAGTGGATGTGACATGTAAAGCTCAGAGCCTCAGGAGGACTCCGAAAGCGAAAGTCACTGTTAGTTCCCCTTTAAGTTGCCAGCACTGTGTCCATAGGTTGGGCAGATGGGTGGGTGGGCAGATGAGATATTTGTACCCATGTGAACACTAACTTCCAGCCCAACCACACACTGGTTGGGTGTCCATCTAACCTCACAAATAGGTCATCTGATCAGTCAGGGGGATCTTACCACCCATAAACCTGACCCTTCCAGGCTATTGGGAAAATCATGTGAAACTGCTTTGGAAGCAGTGCCTCACTGGACAGATGTCCCCATGTCCCCTGGTGCTGAGCAGAGGAGTGCACACAGCAAGGGTCCTTGTGAGAGTGACCCAGAGGCCTGGGAACAGGGAGCCAGCTGGGGTTCCTGCTGGCTCCTGTCTGTCTAGCAGCAGCTTCACCCAATCCGAGACATCGAGTGTCCGGGCCTCGGGCACCCTGCTGCCTCTCTCGGGCCATGCAGAACTAGGAAACATTAGGTTCAGGCAGGGGCCAGTGGCTGAGCCGGCCCCATCAGAGCAGGGGCAGAAACAAGCCCGAGGTCGGCTCTGGCATTTCTGTAAAGAAGGTACAGCTCCTGCTCAGTCCCCTACCCAACCGGATCTCAGTGACCTTGACCATGAGGAGGCCACAGAGAACGACTTCTTCCCACATGGGAAAGAAACCTCCCGCAGACCACTGGAAGCAACCAGCAGCATAGCTTGTGAGCCAAGCAGGATGAGGCAGCTGCTTCCATCTGGGTCAAACCCTTCTAAGGTGGTCCCTCTGCAGCCCCCTCAGTCACTTTCTTTGGCAACAGTCTAGCTTCCTAGGTCGGCCTCTCTAGACATCAGAAGGAAGAACTCCATTCACTCTCCAGCCTCTGGGTACAGTGTCAAAGCCACGATCAGAGTCCAAGGACAGGACACAACCTCCCCAGACCCCTGCTGCCTGGTGCACGCAGCACACACAGCCCAGCCCGGAAGCTACTGCAATACCAGCAGGCCTAGGAGCAGGTGCACCCCAAGCAGCCCAGAAGGGAGAAGCCCTAAAGGCAGGGCTCAGCAGGGGTCCCCAAGACAGACATGGGCACCACAGGCGAGGCTCCTCTCTGCCCAGGAAGCAGGCAGGCATTGGCCTAGGACCAGAGGAGATGTGCTTGTTCATGCTTAGAAATTCCAAGAACTGTGCCACAGGGTGGGTCTGCTGAGGAAGAGGCCCAAGTTGCCAGCTTGAGGGCGTAAAAGGCAAGAATCCACAGGTAGCCGCAGAGATCACAAACCAGGCCAGGCCCTGTGGATGGGGGAGGGCAGGTCCAGTCTGCCACTTCTCAGCGTACTGGGCAGCTCACCTGTATCATGGGAGGCCAATAGCAGCTTCAAGGCAGACTGCTGGACACCACCCACACTCCCTGGCATCTGTGATCGCAAGCCCTCTCCAAGGATGCTAATGCCCTGCAAATCTGTGGGCGCCTCCAGCGGCTCTCCCCCTCCTTTCCAGGTCCAGCAGGAAGGTGAGGGGACATGGAAATGACCATGGGATGGGGACAGGACAGCCTGAGGCTGAGAAATAACAAAGGCTGACATGGGATGCCAGAGCCCATCTGGGTCACTGCGTCCAGAGCAGGGCTGAGACGTGTGGGCCCTGCCCTCACACGGAGGGGCGATCCATGGGCGCTAGGGAGCTCACCTCCCTGACTCAGCAGCATGCCCTGCCCCTGCCGAAGTGCACAGCAGACACAAGCCACTGCCAGCCTCTGCATGGGCTACTCTCCATCCTAGAACAGCTCTGCCACCTTCTCTGGCATCTCAGCTCAGCCCAGACTCACCTCCTCTGGAAGTCACTTGAGGTTAGTCCCGTGAGGACCCCACCCACAGCTGGCCACGCTGGCCCAGGCCAAAGGCATTTCTGCCTTGCTTTTGGACAAAAATGTTCCACATGTGGCTCTCCTGCTGGACCTTAAGGGTTCACAGGGCCTGGCCCACATGACTGCAGCCATGCACTAAGATATAGACTGGAGAATACAGCGTGTCAAAGATGCTTTGCTTGCCGGCTCCTAAGACGTCCAGCCCAATTTCTTCCCCCCTCCCAGCCTGGATGCCCACCCTGGGGAAGCCCAGGGCTTAGAGCGCCCTGCTCTCAACTCCGGGCCAACTGGGGATAGGCTGCCTGAAAACGTGTGGGTACGGCCAGCATCCCTCTCTCAGACAGGAGCCCTCCAACTCCTAAAGGGACAGGAGGCACCAGGAAAGACCTGGAAGGCTGCCCCACCAACCCAGCCCAGCCCAGCCCAGCCCGGCCCGGCCCAGCCTGGCCTCTGCTCCTACCCCCACTTGGCCACCACAGGGTTGGCCTTCTTATCCACCTGTCATTTGAGGAGGAGCTCAAGAGGGACTCTTGTTTGGGCAGAACTTGTAAGGCTCAGCATGGCCAGGTGGCTGCCTTCTGGAAGATTCTAGAAAGGACAATGTGAGTGGAGCAAGGCTACCACTGGACAATCTACCCACCTCTGGGCTTCAGGGACACCTACACCTGCACAGACAGGTGGAGGAGCCCTGGCTCAAACAGGAGCACCAGGACAGCCACATGTGCCGCTGGCCCTCTGGGAAGGCAGCCAGTAGGGCCAGGGAGATGAGCTGACTGGTTCAAGCACCAACTCCAATCAGTGCACTGGGGTACTTGGAGCACAGCGTGGAGAAGGATCCTAAAGCCCAAGCCAGGCCCAGGAAGTCGCATTCCCTTGACCCCCTTGGATAGGGTCTGCCATAGGCCTGGGGCAGAGGGTAGCGCCTATGCCAGGTGCAGACCACGCCCACCCTGGGGCTCAGGACTCTCGCTCCACAGCCCACATGAAAGTTCTCTATTGGGACAACCCGGGTCTTCAGTGCATCTCACCACGCCTTCCTGGGAACCACTGATGGCTGTATGGGTCAGACCTGGTTCTCACCACCCCACGCACCTCCCTCCTCCCCGAGGGGCCTCATTGCCCTGACCACAGCAACAGACCCCCGGCCTCCTCACCTTGGGCTGGAAGGACACTCGGTGTTTGGTGGGTTCTGCCTCAGGCTTGGCCTCCTCCCCTGAGTCCTCACTGTAGCTCTCAAATTCGCTGGAGCTCCAGCCTAGGTCGTCGGCCTCCCGGGACGCCCCGTCCCGCTGCACGTCCTCATACAACAGGCCCCTGTCCGCCCCTGCCGGCCAAGGGACAGGGCAGGTAAGCCAGACCCCTAGGGCCAGGCCAGATCACAGGCCCAACTTCCGACTCCCCGGGGGGAGGAGGGGAAGGGAGGGCTGGTGATGCCCCTAACCCCAGTTGGCCCTGGGGTCCAGCTCTGCTTTCTCAGCTGTCAACAGAAGCAACACCCAGACCTCAACCCCGCCATGGAGTGGGAAAAAGCCCAAGAGCAGTGTCAGAACCGCAACGGCTCAGAAATCACTTCAGATCCTCGCCCTGCGGCCCAGCGCTCTCAGGGCTCCGCCCAGGCCTCCTTGGGGATGAAGACGGAGCTGGTGGCAAACTGGCAGAGATGGGACTATGGCTCCACGGAGGGCTCTGTGTGAGCCCACCACGGTCCAGTAGGGGGCGTACTGGACCCAGAATCCAAGAGCCTGCCCCTTCCCTCCAGAGCCTCCAAGAAACGCCCCGCTCCACCCCGGAAGTGTCCCAGACTAAAACTCTAGGGACAGAGAGCTGGGCTGGAAGGGCATGGCCCACAGAGGGCAGGGTACTCAGGAGGCCCTGCTCAAGGCGGACGTGACCTGCCCACTGGCCCAGGGCTGGAGAGGGGTCAGACAGCAGCCAGACAGTGGAGATGACCAGGCTGCTGTCATCAGGGGAGAGCCTGGGCTTGGGTGAGGCCAGAGACTACGGGCTCGGAGAACCCACACAGCTGGGGAGTCACAGCTGATGGCCAAGTCAGCAAAACACAGGGCAGGAGGGGACCAGGCTGGTGGGGGGCGGGGTGTGCTCAGCAGGAGGCCTAGGCTCCAAGATCAGGAATGAACGTGAAGTTATTTTTAAGCAAAAATAATAGAGCCCAATGTCCCCAGAGATGGGGCAGCTGGCACACAGGCTGTGACCATAGAAGGCTGCGCTGGCCATCCTGTGGCTGCGGTGGACGGCCCCTGGCCAGGGAGCAGAGTGTTCTTGTGGGTACCAGAGGAGAAGCCGTGAACACCTGGGAGGCCCTGCAGGTGGGGCCGAACCCCAGCCACTCCTCCCCATCAGCGTGTTATGTCTCCCAGCAGCCCTGCCGTGGGTGGGGTGCAAGCTGTCACCCCCTCCTGTCAGATGACAAAATGGGGCCCAGGGAAGAGACTGAGCAGACAGCAGGCAGTCTGGGGCTGTGTGTCAAGCTACCTTCTGCTGGGGACCCGGTTGTCCTAGGGTCACCCTGCAGCTCTCTGAGAAATGCCCTCTGCAGGGGAGACGAGTCACAAGCTGTCTGGGCCCCCAAGGGTGTCCCTGCTGCCATGGGCACGGGGACTCTGGTTGGCTGCCACCTACTCAGTTATGTCACGGAACCCACACTACTCCCTGAGGGTGGGGCTGTCATTGCCCCAACTCACAGCGGCCCAGCTGAGGCCCAGCGAGGTGACGCAGCTCTCTGGGTGGCCTCCACCTGCCCAATGACCTACTGGCTTATCTCATGAAACCCACACCCTGAGGGGGGTGTTGTCATTGCTCCAGCTCACAGATGGCCCAGCTGAGGCCTAGCAAGGTGATACAGTTCTCTGGGTGGCCCTCCACAAGGGCTAGTGGGCTTGGGATGATGTGTTAATTGGATGCCCAGAAGCCCAGCCCCTAAAGAAGAGGGAGGGTGGGAGCACGGGCCTGCCCATGTCAGCCCGCCCCCCACTGACAGCTTGTCCCCTTGGCATTCCCACCAAGAGCCATCAGGCCCAGGCAGAGCCACTGCAGAGGCCCTGGAGAGATGTGACAGTACAGCTGTGCCTCCTGCACCTGCCAAGGACCTGAGCCCAGCCCAACCAACGAGGGCCCAGGGGCTGGGGACCATGCTGGTAAATTTGCATAGCAGGCCACCTGCTCTTAACCACCTTGAGACAGGACTGCAAAGACCAGCCACATCCTTCCAGGTTCTGGGGACCTATGTCAGGGCCCCCCCTGACCTCAGGGGGCCCTGGGGCCTTGTCATGTGTCTGTGTGCCTCTCCCATGGGACTGTGCACAGCTCACCAATGGTCAGAGTCAGCCACATCAGCCTAGCAGCCTCAAAGGCAGGGGATGCTTCCCGGAAGGTGGGCAGGCCCTGTGAGGCAGCAGGCAAGACAGGGATGCACTGATGGCTACTCATATCCAACCGTGTGACCTGTGCCTGGGGACGTCCCCTCTCAGATGCAACTGACCCTGCCAACCTCAGCGGGCGACTGGACTCCAGGTACTTCACCTGTCACAAATGCCACCCACGGTCTCCGGGGCCAGGGGACAGGGTGCAGAGAACATGAGTGAGCGGGGCCAGCCCAGCACTGCCCCTAATTCATGTCCGCAGTGAGAACCCAATCCATCCATCACACTGAGACCCGCTGGCCTCAGGAGGTCACAGCTGACCCCGACCCAGCACCCAGCTCCCTCCCATCAGGGTGGCTGGCAGCAGGACCTGGCCCCCACTTTCTTTCCCTAACCCATCCCCCGCCTGCCTGTCCACTGGAGTCCTCAACCCGACTCTCACGCTGTGGCTGCTTCATCCCTCAGCTATAACAACCCACTGTCTTTCCCAGCAGCCTGGGAAGCCCCACGTCCACGGGAGAGGAAGCAAGGCCAGGCCTGGCAGGGTGAAATGGCCTGCCTGGGGACCCACAGCTGGAAGTTGCCCAGCCCAGGCTCCCCAAGCCAGCCCAGCTGGGGCTGGCCACACCCTCGGCCCAGCTCCAGGCTCCTCTTCCTGGAAGATCGCAGTGGCTTTCAAACACAAGACAGAAAGGCAAGCTGGGATGGGCGAGAAGGGGGGGAGGAACCGGAAGGAGAGACGGTCCCCAGTCCCTGCCCTACCACCCCTCCCCTGTGCCCCACCCCCACCCCAGAGAAGCAGAGATGTGTGGGAAGAGGCCATACCAGGCTGATGGGCATCTGGGCTCTCGCAGGGCACGTCGTCATAAATCACATCTTCTTCCAAGGCAGGGAAAGTGAACCGCTCAACTGGGGCTGGAGAGAGCGAGCGCCCGTGGGCTGTGGCGGCCCAGCGGGGACTGCAGCAGCTGGCCGCCCGCCGCGTCCTGGCCACTCCACCGCCCCAGGCTCTCAGGGGATGCCGGTTCCCAGCTTCTCCCCGCCCCCGGCGCCTGCCAGTGACCACAGACCCCCCACCCGCCTGCCTGCCCATCTGGCTACCATGGCAGCTAGTCGGGCACCTGCAGGGAGCACTCCAGCAGCCCTAGCATCTGCACCCCAGCCCCAGGGCAATCACAGTCACCCGGACCCAAGGACTGGTCCCTCCCAGTCTGGACAGAGCTGAGATCTGAGCAGGCAGCCCCTTCTGTCTCCCACTCCTGGACACCCAGGACAACACCCCTCCCCACCCTGTGCTCTAATCCCCTCCCAGGAGCAAAGAGACCCAAAGCCCAACATCTCTCACCCCGCGTGGCTCCCAGCTGCCCTGGAGATCCTGGCTGTGCCCCCTTCACCCCGCAGGGGCAGATCACAGCCTCCCCTGGCCCAGCCAGCCCCTAACAACCCTCTCACCCACACTGAGTCCCTGCTGCTCACATAGGTGCACAGTGCTCTACTGCTCCGCCTGGGATCTCTCTCCCCAACCTGTTGCCTCTTTTGCTGCCCTTAGGCCTGTTCCTGGCACCTGCCCACACACAGAAGTTGCCTGCTCCTGTGTGGTTCTATGCCCAGATGGAACAGCCCAGGGTTACCAGGGTAGCCCCACCACCACCTCCCCAGCCTCCCCAGCCTTTCACACACATGGCTGGCTGGTCCCCAACTCTCCTGGCCCGTCCACCCAGGAGCCTACAGCAGCCCTGGCCCGAAGGATATTCTGAGACACCCTGGCACCTCCCCGGGTGTATGCAACAGCCAAGGTGGGGGCACTTACTGCGACGAGAGCTCTTCCGCTTCCAACTGGAACGCCGGGCCCCAGCGAGAGCTGCATCCACCGCCTCCCCATTGCTCAACACAGCCGGAACCCTGCGGGCCGAGAGAGAATGCCATGAGCCATGGGGTGAGAGCAGGTGCGAAGCCATGCCAGCGGGGAGGCCTATGGCTCAGTTGATCATGGGCAAGGCCTGGCCAGCTACTTGATGGGAGCAGAACCATCAGGTGCGTCCATGGTGACAAGTCCCGCCCACCCTCTGCGACAGAGCCACAGGGGAGCTGTACCACTCTCCCTCCCACATGTATGGGATGGCCAAGATTCCAAGATCCATGCCAGGTGAGAGAAATCTTACCTCCCTACACACACACACACACACACACACACACACACACACACGAGAGCTTGGACCATGAATGGGAAACAATAGAGAGACCTGGCCCACGCCGCCCAATACCATGGGCCCCTGATGTGACAACACAAGGACACTGCATCCCCATGTTGCTTCCATGCAAAACCCATCCAAAACGCATCAGTCCCTGCTTGGGCAGGAGAAGACCACCCTCCACCCCCGTAAGGCACCCACCCAGGGCTCCCCAACAGCCTCCAGGCCACAGAAGCCAAGGAGAAAGCAAGCAGAGGTCACGGGCCGAGGAGCTGCTGCCATGATGGCCACCACCACACGTGATGGCTGGCGTGACAAAGAAATCAATTTCTTGTGTGATTTCACCTTAAGTCAGTTCGTCCTCAATAGCCACTTATCCTGGGTGCTGTCAGTCTCAGTCCCAGCTCACACTAGATGGCTGGAAGCCAGCAGGGCTGCCTGGGGCTCAGAACATGCCCGTTTCAGCGCCAGGGGAAGGCTTTCCAGTGGTGGGCAGTGAGGGTCAAGGGGACAAGCAGCGGGAGAGGGAACCGCCCAGTCCCTCTCTCCAGCAGCTGCTTCCTTGAGCCAACACCTCCCCAACATGGAAACACCATGAAGTTGCCACAATCCACCGCTCCAGCCAGGAGTCACACACACCCAGAGTCACTCCCCATCCCAGCTTCCTGCTCATGCGCACCCTGAAAGGCAGCACGTGATGGCTCAAATACTTGGATCCCTGCCACCCATGTGAAGTGGAGGGAGCTCCAGGCTCTCAGCTTTGGCTAGCCCAGTCCACAGCAGTAGTAAGTATTTGGGGAGTGAACCAGAAGATAAGCTAGTCCTTTTTCTCTTTGCCTCTCAAAATTAATAAAACAATATTCAAATATTTATCTCATGGTCTCAAGAGGTCACCCAGCTGCTTGCCTGCTCAGGCCTCTATGTTTAACAAAGGAAGGAGCAGTTAAGCCTCGCGGTGAAGGTGTCCGTGTCCCCCCCGTAGGGAGGCTTCCCTGCTAGTGCACAGTCTGCAGTGGTCTGAAAGTCTGTGTCTCCCAGAAGGTCCAACTCCTTTCAGAGTTGGGGCCAGAAAACCCTTCATGAGCATCCTTAGGCTCAGGGAGGCTGCCATTTAAACCCCCGGAATTTGGACCCCCAAGACAGGGCAAGCAGCCAGCCTGGCTTCCTGGCCTGGCCTCCCAGACCACAGGGTGGCAAGCAGGGTGCGTGCAGCACACAGAAGGCACTTCACCCACCGCTTCTGCCCAAGCCACCTGGCCAGCAAGAGGCAGAGCTGCAGTTTGAAGAAGAATCCCATCTCGCCGCACAGCTTCGCTCTCAATGCCAGCTTGCTGCACCCAAACCGATGCGGGCACTGCCCAGGAGAGCTGGAGAGGAGTGAAGCTGGGGCAGGAGCGTGTGAGCCAATGCTCAGCTCTAGGTAGGACCCCATGTCCACCTGCTCCCAGCTGCTGTCAGCACAAGCCACGTTCCCCACCCAGCTAGGAAGCCTAACTCCCTCACTGTGAGCAAACACTCCTTCTGGGTCCTCCTCCAAGGCTCCAGATAATGAAATAGCCATAAATTCACTAAGAGGCCAATTATCTCAGTCTTATCTGGGCTGCCGGCTGCCACTGCCTCTCAGCTTACACCCAGCTAAGATTACGCCCAGGCCTACCAGGTGAGGTGGAGCAGAGACAGAGGTAAAGAGGCCTTCTTTAATATGCCTCCAACCTCCCCCCAAGCCCACCCCCCATGCTCGCTCGCTGGGGGCCAGTCAGGGTCAAGTTCACTTGCTCTGTATCTGTGCCCTCCCCTACCCTCCTGCAAAAGCTCCCAGATGCCCCCAGGCCCCACCTCCTCTCTCTGCAAGAAGCCAGGGAAGAGGACAGCAGGGACCCGCTCCCTCCTGCAGCCCCCACACACAGCTGGCACTCAGTGATGGCCATGCAGCCCATTTTAAAGACTGGTAGCTTAAAAGTGCCTCGTCCTGCTCCTTATGGCTGCTGATGAGCCCCGGGGTCTCAGGGAGTCCCTGTGGCCACAGAAGCCCACAAGGTCCCTTCCAGTGTGGGGGGCAGTTCAGAAAGACCCCAAACCCAGAAAGATCTAAGGATGTCACACATAGTGCATGCTAAGACAAGGCATGACAAGTGTGATCCCGCTTTCCTGGGTGGAAAGGACAGGACCAGCACCTGCCTCGTGCAGCCTCAAGTGAAGCCCACGGGTGGCCTCTGGAGGCTGGGGGCAGAAGGCACTCAACAGGGCATCAATGCCCCACCACACAAACCTGAGCACCCCAAAAGAAACACGAGAGCACCAAGCTCCGGGCGAGCCTGCTGCCAGCTTTCTTGATGGCCCTGGCTGCATTCTGGTTGGCATGACATGGCAAAGCCAAGAGGGCCATACAGATGCCCTGGTCTGAAGATTGGCAGCCAGGGGCCCATCACTCACCTAGCAACTCCACCCCCTGGGTCTGGAGAGGGGTACACACTGGAGAGGGGTGCTGCCAAAGCTCCCAGAAGCTCCAATGTGTGGCTATAGAGCCAGGCCTGCAGGCTCGAGGGCTGAAGAAGCTGGCCCCCCAGAAATCCCCTAGCTGTGTGTTAGGACAAGCCACTTCCCAGAGCTTCAAACTGCGTTCATTCAGAATCAGGTGAATTATCGCTTCTACTTCCTGTTGTGAGGACTGAATGCAAAACACAGGTAAATCACTTGGCATACCCTGTGCCTTGGTTTCTGCATCTGTAAAATGGGCACGATAGCCACCCCTGAGGGTGCCAATCAGGAGCAGACCAAAGGTGACACCGGGGCTGGCACCAAGTCAGTCCTCACCTGCTCGGCCTCCCTTCCCCGCTCCTCCTCCAAGAGCAGGGTCCCTAATGGCTGACACCCAAGACACTGTCCCCACTGGGCAGCCAGTGCCAAGGCCACAAAGGAAGCCTTTCACAACTGCTGGTGTGTGGCGTGTGCGTCTCCTCTCCCTGGCAGCCGGGGTGCCCTGGGCAGCACAGACTGTGAGGGCTCTATATCCCCAGCAGTAACTGACGGAGGGCCCTGGGGAACACTCAGGTAGGATGTAGGCCCCTGTGAGAGAAAGCTATTAGCTAAAAAGCATCAATTAGTACACCACACATCAGCCTGTGTGTTAAAGCCAGGACTCCATTAATAACCTAAGGACACTTGTATCTGTGCATAGCAGAGAGGCTGAAATGCATATCTCCTGGACTGTCTATTTTACAATGAACATACACGACTTCTACCATCGAAGGTAAGCGGCCAGCAGGAAGGGAGAGAAAAGAACGTCTTCAGCCCGGCTGAGCGGTGTCAGGGCGCCTTCGTGCCCTGCAGGCTGCCCTGGGCAAGTTTATGAGCTATGGAGAGGACAAGTACAGGTGGCAGCAGCTCCCCGACCAGGCCACGTCTCACACCTGTGCCAGGAGGCAGCGCCCAGCACAATGCCTCCTCTAGGCAGGGCCCCAGGGATGGAAATGAATGAGGTTGAATCCTGTTGCCATGGGGACCCAAGGACTGCACCCCAGATCCTTCCAGAGGGCTTAGATGTACCAGGACAGGTGCACCACAGTGCCCACAGGAGCCTGTGGGGAAGCGGCTGCGAGGCTTTTAGACCAGGGCCTCCAAGGACCTGAGGTCCCAAGGCCACGGCTGTGATACAGACCCTGAGAATGCTCTAATAAGGGAGAGATGGATTTTCCTAACTAGGGGCCAGCAAGGGGCTGGAGGTCTGTTTGTTTAAAGATTCATTTATTCACTTGAAAGAGAGAGAGCTTCCATCTATTGGTTCACTCTCTAATGGTCTCAACATTAGAGATTGCTCTGGTGGAAGACAGGAGCCTGGAACTCCACCTGGATCTCCCACGTGGGTACAAGGACTTGGACCATCTTCCGCTGCCTTCCCAGTGCATCGGCAGGGAGGTGGATCGTAAGTGAAGAGGCCAGGAGGTTAACTGACACTCCAACCAGGGATGCTGGTACTGCAGGCAGCAGCGGAGCTCACTGCACCAGGTCAGCCCCTGGAGAGGACTTTAACAGAAAGAGGGGTCTGGCCCCCACAAACCCTCTATGAGGGGCTGGATCCACCAACAGAGGGCCAACTTTTGCTAGGCCTTGGCCCCATGTGGACACGGACCCTGCAGGATGGGACACAGGAAACTCAAAGGTTCCAGGTTTGTGAACCAGCAGGTGTGAGAAGTCCAGGCTCCCAAGCAAATCCAGATGAAGCCTGCAGCCATCTGGAAACCTGGAGAATTTTCTCCAATAGCTGGGGGTACTCCAAGCCTGTTAACCTGCCCCCCCCCCCCCGCACAACCACCAGCAGCAGCCTCCCTGTGGGGCACACCCAGACACCACCAGACCACGGTCACACTGCAAGTAGGCCTTCCAGCACCCGCTTTAAACCCCGCTTCACTCAGCCCAGCCTCCTCTTGGCCCGACCCATCCAGCTCTTGTCTGCCCTTTCCCAGGAGACAGGTGTTCTGGGTCTGTCAGGAATCCAACTGCCTCCTCCTTGCCCATTCTCCAGCTCCAGGCCCAGGTGAGCACCTCCAGCCAGAGTGCGGGCAGCACCAACTTGGTAATCCCCAGAAGGGGACATAAGGAATCCGTAGGGAGGCCATCAAGAGTCCCCAAGGCCAGGGTCAAAGCCTGCCACAAGCCTGCCCCACTGGCCAATACTGCTGCCCTGGGTCTAGGGAGACCACAGAGGCAAAACTGGACAAGCAAAAGTCTCGACGACCACAGAGGCTGCCAAATCTGCAGGGCTGCTGCACTCAGATGGGAGAGCTACGCGCCAGAAACCACAAACAAGCCAGGAAACAGGGCCCCTCAGGGTACTGCGCTTCTAACCTGGGGTCTCCCAGCCAGAGCTCAGATCATCCCGAGTGCCAGGGCTGTGACATCCAGACTGAAGGCAAAGCCTACAGGCTTCCAGGGTGGCACTGGGAGGAGCCACACCTGATCCTGAGGTCCTGAGACACCTTAGCCACCCATCTGTGACATCCCCAGGACTCCTAAAGGTTCAAGCACTGCAGTGACCGACAGGTCCACACTGGTCCACACTCCCAGATCTCCACTGGGAGGGGTGGCTGGGGGCGCCGCCCTTTATCCAACTTCAAGGAGTTTCATTGAATTATATACTTGGCAGTGCCCAGGCATCCCAGCTGGGAGTTCTGGGACATTCCTCCAACTGCTTGGAGACCACTCTTCCAAGAACATGGAGATGCTCTCTTAGCAGACACAGTTCTAACCCCAATAAGCACAGGAACACAAGAACAGCGTCCATGGAGCCAGCTACACACCTCCCTCCATGAACCAAAGGAGTCAGGGAGCGCTGAGGCCAACTCCTGGCCTCCAAGTCTGAGGGTCTTGGTTCTGATCCCTGCTCTGAATGCCCTGTAGCATCTACATGCATCCTCGGGCACCCCTTGCTTTGCTGAGCCTCCACTGCCCCAACTTTATAATGGGCAACAACAGGGTCTACTTCCTAGCTATGGGTGGAGTCAAGCACACAACTCAGAAGTAGGCAGACAGGCTGGCCCTGTCCCACGGTCAGCAGGGTGTGCCCCCAGCTCCGGGACAGCCATGGTAGATATCTCAGAGCAGCTAGCAGGTGCCAGCCACACACCAGCCACACTGAGCCCAGGGTCTGTGTCCACGCACCTACTCTTCACAACGCCTGGCAAGACACATTGCCCGTTGCTTGGATTAAGAAAGCAAAGGTTGAGAGCTGAAAGCGACAAGCCGTGACACCAGTTCCACGCAGCCCTGAGCTCCCAGGCCCTGGAAGAGCCTCACTCATGCAGGACTTGCTTCTGCATGCAGCTGTGAAGCAAGGATCAGAGCCCAGCCCTGCCTCCTTTCCTCTGCAGCTCTGCGTGTGTGTGTCGGGGGGGGGGGGGGGGGAGGAGGTCTCGGGGGATTGAGTGACCGGAAGGGAGGGAGGGAAGGAGGTCATCTTCAGCTCTGCCAACCTGAGCAGTTACCCGGTGCTACAGGACAGCAGGTGGACAGTGCCCAGGCCTCTTGCGATCTCCAGCAGAGGATGTGGAGGAAAAGCAGGAGGCAGAATCGCCACCATTTTGAGCCTTGTGTTCACAAAGCAGCATGTGCTGAGTAACCACCATTCTGGAAATTTTTTTAAATTATTTTCCCCCTTTGGATAACAAGCAAGAGGAAAGTGATCTGGATGACTCTTCACCCAGAGACCCCGAAGCACAAACCCACCATCCAGGGAAGCTCCCAGAACTTTGATGCACAGAGAGCCAGAAAGGAAGCTGGGCATAGTGCAGACAGCACTGGACAGGAAGTGAGGAGGCGGCCTGCAACTCACTGTACCCCCCTCTGCCACATTCCCAGGCCTTCTAGGTCTCTCTCAGGTCAGCGCTCAATAGGGGACGAGTCTCCCAGAAACAGCGTCCAGTATGACAGGGAAAGTGATGGCTGGCCCCCAGCAAGCCAAGCCCAACTGAGCGCCCAAGGCACTGGGCACAGACACTCTGTCCGCCCCAGCCCACTGAGCAGCTGGAAGCGGCAGATCAGTAGGAGGGGTAGACATGCCAGGTGCTCTCTCCCCCAGCCAGCCTCAGCTATGCCTCCCACCTCCCAGGTGGGGACCCTGAGACTCAGAGAGGCTCCCAGGCAGCCCGAAGCCACAAAGGGCCGAGAGGGGATTAGCATCCTGGGGCAAAAGCCCTGCGGGGAGAGGAACCTGGGGGGCTTCAGGCTGAGCTGAGAACAGGCAGTGGAAAGTCGAGAAGCAGGCAGAGCGCTGCCTGGAAAGCCCAGCCTAGCCTGCACTATCCTAACCAGCCCATCCGCATGATGAAAAGACACCGCAACGCACACCAGCGTCCCGGAGGGTCACTGGGGCTCAGCGTGGCGCCAGCCTGACTTGTAATCTGGCTGCAGACTCACTCTGGAAGACTCAGCAGCCAGGTCCCCAGGACAGAGCCAGCAGCTGGGCCACAGGGCATGGAGACAGAGCCAGCAGTGCCCCACTGCAGTGCTCCCCACTCCAAGCTCAGGGGACCTGGAACTTCCAGGGATACACCTGCTCATGGCCCCCACCCCCAGCTTCCTCTCTCTCTCTCTCTCTCTCTCTCTCTCTCTCTCTCTCTCTCTCTCTCCCTCACTCTTTCTTTCTCTCTCTCTCTCCCTCGCCCTGTGCCTTTAAAATAGATCAGTTAAAAACAAATACATAAACACGTCTCTTCAAGGAAGAAATTGCTTGACTCTCCCAGCCATCACTGTCCTGGAGCCCCAGGGACAACCTGACCTCCAGCTGTGGGCAGCGCCCAGGTCCCTAATCAAGGGGAGGCTGGCCCCTAATTCTGGCCTTAATTAGTAATTACCTTGTGGCTGCAGGGCCTGCGATTTGCATCTCTGAGGCCTCCTGTCAGGTGACAGCTGCTCAGCTTAGCCCTGGAAGACCCGGGGAGGCTCAGACACTCTGTCCACCCCTGCCCCCACCAGGAACCTAGCCATCCACTTAGGAACTAAACCTACCGCTTAGGGAGGCTGTGAGCACCCAGGCCCTTCCCTTGGTGAAGAACACAGAGGAAGTGTGATCCAAAGTAATTGGCTTGAAGTGGGAATGCTGGCTCAAGTCCAGGTTCCCCCGCTTCCAACAGGGCTTCCTGCTAACAGACACCCAGGGAAGTAGCAAGAAGTTCAAGTTCCCTGCACAGTAAATCCAGGCTCCTGACTGCAGTCCGGCTCAGCCCGACAGTTGGAGGGTGAGCCAATGGGTGAAAAATCTCTGCACCTGTGGTGGGATTAGGCTGCCCCGTTGCTGACTCCAGAGAAAGGATGGAGAGTACACGCAGACGCACGTGAAAGATAGCTGGCTCCTCTAACCCGGCACAAGAGACCATGGCAACCCCAGACAGGACTCAGCTCAGGGCAGCCCAGCCGTGGTGGCACCTGCAGCTGCTGAGTCACGTCCAAGGCCACAGAGACAGGCGGGTAGCTAGGGGCAGGGCTTGGGCAAAGCAAGGCAGGAATACCAGGGGCACGGGGGTTGGAGGGACATGGAGGGCAGGGGGTGGACTGTGGAGGCAGGGGTTCAGGACTAGCCTCTTCCCCTTGGCCAACGGGTCTTCTTGTCCTTAGCTCCAGACCCATTTTGGGGCACTTCCACCAGGCCCCAACACCCGCTGTCCCTGTAGGGGCACTCATAGCCCCAGAGCAGGAATGCAGATTACTTACTGTGTCTGGGACGGTAGAGCAGCTAGGACTGGCTCTGTGGGAGAAGCACAGAGGAAGGGCCTGTGAGGCAGGAGGCTGGCCTGCGGTGTCCCCCGCTGGGAGGGCCCCTAGCCAGCTGGGTGCCTGCTGTGTCCCCGCCTCCCTGCCCCCAGCCAGGGCTCTGTGATGAAGCCCCAGCAACCTGTCTTACCAGTGCGGCCTGCCCCCACCCCCACGGTCCTGGTCCCAACCAGAATCAGGGCCCCACCTGCTTTGCTCTCCGGGGAAGCTGCTGGCCCAGAGCCCGCAGGAAGTTCCGGCTGGTCGGGTCCCCAGGCTCTCCTGGGGGCAGCTAAGAGCCCAGCAGCCAGCAGCTTTCCAGGGCCCGGGCTCCCCGGCAGCGGACTCGAGGGGGTCCTTGGGGATTCTCTCTGGAGCCTAGGCTGCCACCGCTGCTCCCAGGGAAGGTGTCAGAGACACAGCAGCAGCAGCTCAGGGCAGCCACTGCCTCCCCTAGCACAGCCCAGCAAGCAGGCAGCCAGAGGGCCCCAGATGTCCCAGGAATGCTAGGAATCCCCACTTCCCAAGGGAAGCCTGGAATGCCGCCGCTGCTTCCCAACTGCCACTTCCCAACCGGCTTCACGTCCGGCTTCCTGGGGACAGTAGGAAGCCACCAGGCATCCCTGGGAGCCCAAGCTTCCAGCTCTCCGGCAGTCCCAGGGCGGTTAGAGAGGGAGAGGGTCCCTTACCAGTGAGGGGGGTGGAATCGAAGTGAATCAGCGGCTGGTCCACATCTTCCTGGGGAGCAAGGCTGGCGACGCCCGTGCCAGGGCCCTCTTCCTCATCACTGTCATCAAACTCAAAGGCCTCTCCTGGGTCGTCCTCCGCCTCAGAAGAAGGGCCAGGGGCTCCGGGAAGTGGCGGTTCTCCTGCAAGAGAGGAGGAGTCAGCCAGGCGCCAGGGTCTCTGCAGGTGGGTAGGCCAAGGGTGGGCACAGGGTAGGGGGCACTGAGTCCCCACAGACACTCACTCAAGCCAGCGTGGGTCAAAGCAAAGGCCAGGTGGCCCTGCAGCATCTTTGAGGTCTCCTGGGGGAGAGGGGTGTGGCTGACCTGTGGCACAGGGGTTAAGCCCAGCAGAGGAGCCAGCCAGGTGTCCAGGATCCTGTATTGGAGGGCAGGCCTCATCTTCCCAGCTCCCTACTGATGGGCCTGGGAAGGCAGTGGAAGAAGGACCCTCCCTGCACCCACGTGGGAGACCTGGAAGAAGATGTGGCCTGGCCCAGACCTGGCTGTTGTGGCCATTTGGAGACAGAACCAGCAGAAAGAAAATTCTCAGCCCGGTGCTGTGGCCTAGCAGCTAAAGTCCTCGCCTTGAACGCAGTGAGATTTCATGCAGGCGCCGGTTCTAACCCCAGCAGCCCAGCTTCCCACCCAGCTCTCTGCTTGTGGCCTGGGAAAGCAGTCAAGGACAGCCCAAAGCCTTGGGACCCTGCACCTGTGTGGGAGACCCAGAAGAGCTGCTGGCTCCCAGCTTCAAATAGGTGCAGCACCGGCCGTCGTGCTCACTTGGGAAGTGAATCATCGGACAGAAGATATTTCTCTCTGTCTCTCCTCCTCTATATATAAATCTGACTTTGCAATAAAAAGAATTCTTAAAAAAAAAAGAAAGAAAATTCTCTTTCTCCCCTCTGTCACTCTGCTTTTCAAATAAATACATAAATAACAGTTTTAATTTAATTATTTCTATTGGAAAGACAGAAACAGAGAGGACAGACAAAGATCTTCTGTTGGGCCCGGCGCGGTGGCGCAAGTGGTTAAGGTCCTTGCCTTGCACGCCCGGGATCCAATATGGGTGCCGGTTCTATCCCAGCAGCCCTGCTTCCCAACCAGCTCCCTGCCTGTGGCCCGGGAAAGCAGTCGAAGACAGCCCAAAACTTTGGGAACCTGCACCCGCGTGGGAGACCCAGAAGAGGCTCCTGGCTTCGGATCAGCATAGTATCGGCCGTTTGCGCTCACTTGGGGAGTGAATCATCGGACGGAAGATCTTCCTCTCTGTCTCTCCTCTCTGTATATCCGCCTTTCCAATAAAAAAATAATAAAAATAAATCTTTAAAAAAAAAAAGATCTTCTGTCCACCAGTTCACTCCCCAAATGGCCACGATGGCCAGAGCTGAGCCGATCTGAAGCCAGGAGCCAGGATTCTGCTGGGTCTCCCACCCAGGTGCAGGGTCCCAAGTTTAGGGCCATCCCCAACTGCTTTCCTAGCCCACAAGCAGGGAGCTGGACGGGAAGTGGAGCATCCAGGACATGAACAGACACCAATATGAGATCCCAGCATTTGCAGGCTGAAGATTAGCCAATTGTGAGCCATCATGCTAGGCCAATCCTTTTTTCTTTTTTTTTTTCCAAGTAGGTTCAGGGTTGGATAGGGCTTTAAGCAACTGGCAGCCAAAGGAGCAGAGGACATAAGCTCCTATGGGGAGAACAACCCAAGTCTTTCCTCTGCTTTTCAAAGATATCTTTAATTTTTTATTTGAAATGCAGAGCAAGGGCGTGGGGAAAGACAGAGAAAGAGAGACAGCGAGGTGGAGATGGGTGTTTTCCAAACACCCACAACAACCAAGCACCCCATCGAGGTCTCCCACATGGGTGACAGGGCCCCCAGCCCAGGAGCCACCACCTGCTGCTTTCCTAGGCGCAGTTACAGGGAGCTGAGCGGGAAGCAGTCTGGAATGAAGTGGCACTCGGATATGGGATGTAGGCAATGAAGGCGGCAGCTTAACCTGTGATGCCACACGCTGGCCATAAGAGGGCTCTCTAAAGATGGTTCCTTCCTGGGGATCCATGTCTTCCTGTTCCCCTCCTGCTCCTTCCAGCCCAGGGGGCCTTCCTGACCACTTTGTACAGTAGATCCTATCTCCCCATCTCTGTCTTCTGCCCTCCTCATCACCTGAGCTGCACTGGTGTACTCCCCACTACCCCCAATCCCAGGCTCCCTAAAGAGCCACAGATCTGTCCCAGTCCCAGGCTGCTCCCCACTGCAGGCCAGGGGCTCCTGCAGCTGTGACAACCACGAAGGTCTCCAGTCAGTGCCACGTGTCCTCCTGGGTGGCAAGATCACCTCTAGCCAAGAAGCACGGGTCGGGTGTCACCTGAGCACAACGCCCAGAGACAGGCTGTAACAACCACACCGGCCCTCCTTCCGGTCTCACCCGCGCTGTGACAATGACAAACAATGACACCTGCTCTCCCTCCAACCTCACCCACCTTCACACTCCAGAGGCCAAAGTCCACACCTGCAGCCCCAGCTCTGGCCACAGCAGGTGCTTCAGACACTCTAGACAAGGGACAGGAATAGGTGGACAGAGGGATGGAAAGAAGGGAGGGAGGGGCCAGCAAAAGGACAGAACCACATCTGACTCCGACCATCTCGCTGACCAGCAAAACCCCATCACCCTGCACAAGGGCCAGGAGGCCCCCAGAGCAGCACAGTGATAACAAGGTGACATGGTTCACGTGCAGCCACACAGGCAGGATGGGGGCTCGAGCCCTGGGACATTGTGCCCCATGCTGACAAAGTCATGTCAAAGGCTTGTGTTTTTAAAAGTCTGGAACGTACTGGGATGAATGATTGGCAAAGTCCCAGCCTGGCGTTTTCAGGGTAGGAGATACAAGCCTAGCCTGACTTACACGGTCTGTAAGTACCTCTGGGCCTTGCCTAGCTGAATCTGCTGGGCAGAGGGTGAGGGTTCCCCTTTAACACGTAGGGTCAGTCACCTGGGTTCAACTCAGACCCGGCTCTCTCATGTGCTCTCTGTGCAAGTGCCGAGGGATTGGGCCCCTCTAAGCTGGGGTTCCCCGACTTCCAGGGCTGCTGGGAGGGTGTTGGGAGGGGACCACAGGCAGCACGCTCTGGCTCAGGCACGTCCACACTCAGTGCTGGGTGTTCCTAAGGTGACGAGGCTACACACGGTCACTGTCCCTGTTACAGCATCATTATTAGAATTCCATCACTGGTCTTATTATCATCATAATAACATAATGCTAATTGCTGTTATTACTACAGCCTTGTCACAGCCCAGTCCCTGCCCCAGGTGACATGGGCAGTCCTGCTCACTGGCCACCGCGGGCTGTGTGCAGGAACTCGAGTCACCTTCCCTGTACCTCCCACCTTTCAGAGTACTAACAGTGTCGGCAACCCCATCAACAATCACCCACATACCCAGGGCATAGCCCCCCACAGACTCTGGGTCCCTCACTGCCGCACGAGGGACACACTGCTAGGAGGGGAAGCCCCCAGCTCACCGGGACTACAAAGGGCTCTGACAAGAAGTTGCCCTAGAACAGCCCGGAAGAATGAGAAAAAGCCTGGCAGGTGCGGCTGGGGCTCCAAGTTCCAGGCTGGGCAGCTGCAAGGGCGGGGGATGAGCAGCCGGGGGAGGGGAGCCCGGCAGGCAGGAAGGTCAAAGGATGGTGGACAAGGTGCTCAGTGTGCTTCGGCGTAGGGAAGTGGTTCTCTTTTGGGAGTTACAACTTTTATTTGTAAGGTAACAGGGACTTCTCAAAGCATCAGAACACGGCAAAGAGCCAGGTCTTGAGTGCGAGCAGGGGACAGTGGTCACATTACTCAGGGCTGAAGGACAGGTTCCAGACATCCATAGGTGTCTCTCTTCGTGAGTAGGAGAAGGGCAGTGTGGCCCTGCAGCAGAGGCCCCAGGAGATGCACTTGTCCCCTCTCTCCAAGTCATGGAGCACAGTCCCTCATCCAAGGGCAAATCAGGCCACCCAATGTGGGAAAATGGGGAGCTGAACTGAGCCTTTCCCAACACTGGGCCAAGTGGCTTGACGGGAGCTGGTCACGCGTTCCTCAGGAACACGGCCAGTCCTCAGGAGAACCAATCCAAGCAGGCCCTAGAGGTGGGGACCCAATCGGGAGTGCCACCCATCCCTCTCCCCTTCTTCTCCCACTGCTCCCCCGGCCCCACCCTCAAAGCAGGTGTACCTGCTGCACTGGGCCTGCCCTGCTTTGAGAAAGCTGAGATTCAGAGCTTGGAACCAGTCTGTCATCCAGCCCTACCCAGGGGTTGTCTTGGGCCCTGCCCAGGGGCTGAGGCATGGCGTACAGTCTGTCCCACCAACATGCTGTAGAGCTGATAGCTCCCATCCCTGAGTGATCAATGGCCACACACCCAGGCCTTGCACCAGCACAGCCCAGGGAGGCATCGCCACCCCCAAGCTTATCAATCACGAAACCGAGTCACCTAACCACGCTGGTTAAGTAAGCAGCAGGATCGCGGCGTGGGCTCAGATGGGGCCAGAGACAAAAGCCCCGACTCATGACGATGACACCCTCCTGCCTTCCCCACAACAGCAGAACAGGAAGCAAGGGCCTGGCAGGTGAACAGGCCTCAGGCCCAGCCCAGTCCCTGTGGGGCGGGGCCTGGGTTTCACCCGCAGTGTCCTGGGCCCCCACCACTGGGGCTGCCAAACAAAATACAGGACCCAGCATTGAATTTCAGATAAACCGCCAGGCGTTGGGAGAAGTGTGTGCTTTGTCCTTAGTTTTTGGCCTGACTCTGACAACCCCACCACCGCCAGATGAGCTCAGATTGCCCCAGTGTTCTGCAGGGGACAAGAGACAGGTCAAGAATTAACTCCGCCCCATGGAAGAGCTTACCCCAGCTGGCTGGTCAGGGGGAAGTCATTTCCATTTTGCGGACCTAAGGTCAAGGGGTGGGCACAGGCTTATCCCCCAGCACAGCCGGACCCCACACCCGGGGCAGCCGACTCTGCTACCTATGCCAACCCCCCAGAACCCACGATGCCCCTGGTGAGGAGGGCCGGGCCCCCAGTACATACCTACAGCAGGCTGTGGAGGAGGAGTGGAGGAAGCCATCAGACGCAGTCCAGCTCAGCCCAGCACCGTCCCGGCCGCTCGCCTGCAAAATGACAGCCAGAGTGCCATTAGCTGGAGCTTGAAGCTGCAGTCTTGAGGAGGGGGTGGGGTACAGAGGGGGACCCCCAAGCTCACAACCTGTATGCTCCGGCCCAAGCACCTTCCTGCCGGCTCCAACTCCAGGGCTCGGGGCAGCCCCAGAAATGGCCCAGCCTTCACCCGGAGTAATCATTAACTCGGAGGGAAGCCAGCAGGTGCATGGCCAGAACCCTGTCTTCCCAGAAACCCCTGCAGTCACAGATCTACCTTCTGCCCAGAGCTACTGTCTCGCCTTTCCCACCTGGGCTCCCCGGTGAGGCTGCAGGCCTAGAGCCGGGATCCCTGCTGTCACAGATGGGGCTGGACACTCCCTCCTCTGGCTGCCCAGTTGCTGCAACCTCCCTCTCGGGTCTGGCCGGCCACCCTCTCCGCTCCATTCCCTGGCCCCTCTGAAGGCCATTCTCTTTTTGGCTCTCCCTGTTCTGACCGAGAGGACTGGCCAGCTGGCAACAGGCCACCCTGGCCTTGGCACATGAGTATGACGAAGGAAAGGGCTGGAAGAGGCAGACAGGCAGCCAGGGCTCAGGGCATAATCCCACCACCCATGGCTGTAGTGACTTCCTCCTGGGCCCCAGGCCTGGCACTATCCAGCAGGACACATGTGACCAGAAGCCCTCAGAGGGCCCTAGACTTTACCATGCCTGATGTCCTCAGCCAGGCAGTGAGACAAATCCCCCAGGCTCCCGGCGACTCTGAGGAGGGGCTCTGTGTCGTTTCCCAGCGGCTGGAAGGTCCGAGGTCTCCCACGTGATCGCTCCTGGGCTCCCTGGCCGAGCAGACCACATGGGGCGCCTGGGACGTTCCAGACCTTATTCCAGGCTTATGACAAATGTGAGCACATGACTCCAAATTGCACTCGTGAAACACACAATACGGAGTGGGTAAGCAACTTGTGCCCACGTTCACCCCCTAGGAAGTGTCAGGGCTGCAAGGGAAACCTTGTGGCTTCAAGGAGTGTGCGCCCCAAGCAGCCACCAAGCTCCAGGGCCCCCTCAAATATAAACAGGGAGAGTATCCAGTCTGGTGGTTAAGATGCTCGAATCCCAGGTTAGAGAATTCTCGTCCACAGGCCTGGGGCTCAGGCTACGCTCCTCCTGTCCCCAGGTAGCGTCGCACCTGCTGTTCTCTGCTTCTCACTCACTGATCAAGCACAGACGCAAGAAGAGGCTTCAAAAAACCTCAGCGGGGGCAGCCATTGAGCCGCCACCTGTGACCCCAGCATCCCCTACCAAAGCGTCAGTTTGAGTCCCAGCAGCTCTGTTTCTGTTTCAGCTTCTGCTAACGCGCCCAGAAAGGTGACACGGGATGGTCTAGTAGTCACTGGGGCCTCTACCAGTCCTGGACAGGGTTCCTGGCTCCTGGCTTCCGGGGCTGGTGGCGGGGAGGGGGGGCGGAGGGAGGGATGGGGAGCTTTCCAACTTTAAAAGCAGTTCAGGGAGAATGTGTATTATGAAGAGAACTGCCCATGTCCAATGCAACCGCTCAATTGGCTAATCCTCCCCTTTCAAGCACCAGCATCCCATATGGGTGCTGGTTCATGTACCAGTTGCTGTACTTCTCTTCCAGCTTCCTGCTATGGCCTGGGAAAGCAGGGAGATGGCCCAAACGCCTTGGAACCCTGAACCCGTGTGGGAGACCTGGAAGAAGCTCCTGGCTTCAGTTCAGCTCAGCTCCAGGGAGACAGAGAACTCTCTGTCTTTCCTCTCTGTAAATGTGCCTTTCCAATAAAAATAAATCTTTAAGAAAAAAAACTGCCCATAAATATCAAAATATTTTGCACTAAGACAATCTTATAATTCCACTTTTCCAGGGACTTTCTGGGGTCCCGTGGGACATTAGATGCCACCAAGAACTGTTGGATGGGTTCTGGATGCCAGACCTGGCCAGAGTTCCCACCACTCATTGAGCAGGGACAGCGTGAGGTCCCACGTCACAGCTGTCTCATGACAGGCCAGCCTGACTCCGCCAGAAGCCCTGCGTGGCCTGAGGTCGCAACATGGACATGTCCGCAAAATGGACAACAACCCCAAGCTTCACCTACCCAGTGTTACCACCCCACACTCAGGGTTTGTATGTAACTAAATCCCCACAGTGTCTTAGGGACGGCTCCAAGGCCATAGAACCACTGCCTCTAGGGTTCTGGGTAGAGGCTCGGGGCAGTAGGGAGCTGTGAGAGGAAGAGAGGACCAGGGTGGGAGCTCCCTGCAAGGGGACACAGCGTTGAATCAGCTCCTGGAAGAGCAGGGCCCATCTCTGCTCCTCGCCCACCAGGGGTGGGGCCAAAAGGCCCCCAGGGTGGGGGATGGAGATGGCTCTAACTTCCTTTCCCCTCTGCAAGCCAAGAGTGCTACAGGCCCGGCTGAAACTCAATGGACAGGCCTGGGACAATGGAGGCTTTGTCCCAGGCCCACTGCAATGCCCGCCCTGCCAGCTCCCTGACCTCCCAGACGGGGTGGGCTAGCCCTGGTCAATGATCTGGGAGTGAGGAGCAGCCTGGCCCCCAGGAGGCCTCTGTGGGAAGGAAATGCCCCTGGCCAACCAGCCAAGACCTCTGGGGCTGTTGCCTGGGAGACCAGAGTCAGCCAGCAGAAGCTGCCGGACCCAGCGGGCAGCAACTCCGCCTTCCAGCCCCTTGAGCCCTTTAACCCTTTATTCACGGTGATCCAGGCAGAACAAAGAAGTTAAGTGAAGTGCAGGTAAAACTGTCCCACCTCACATCCCCAAGGGGCTCTAGACTTTGGCCACATCCTACGTGGTCTGTGCACTGCACCTGGCAGGAGGCCTGGACTTTGCTGGCCCTCCAGCCACCAGAGCCTCACCTCCACGTTGGAAACGCGGGGAAACGGAGGCAGCAGGTGCAAAACCGAGGGCTGAATGTCCACACCCTCCATAGTCAGCAAGGACAGGTGGAAACAGGGAGACAAGATCTGAACCTGACCGCTCTGCGGGTAAAAGAAGGGCAGGGAGGCAGAGAGAGAGCTGCGTGCTTGGGACCCCAGCACCAAGGGGTCCCAAGTCACACTGGCAATAGGGTGGGGCCAAGGGAGGAGCCAGAATCTCTCCTCCTCCACCGGAACTTAGCCAAAGCCCAGAGCACACCAACCCCCACCCCCGCCCCCAACAGCCAGGAGCAGGAAGGTCCTGAGCCAGACCAAGTCACATCTGTGACTTCCGTGGGTCAAGCTCATGGTGATCTCATGGCCGGCCAGCCAGCCAGCCCCCGCCTGATGCTGGGGACAGAGAGGGTCCCATGGTCCTGCCCTCAGGCAGTTCCTATCCATGGTGGGGATGCCTCACCCGGCCATGGATGGCAGGGCCAGCGCCCTGGGCCAGGGAAGTCATGGACACAGGAGCCTGCTTCCAGGTCAGAATTTGATCCGGGGCTCCAGGACAGGCTCTACAGAGTCCGGTGCCACTGCATGCTAAGGTTTGCTCAACTGTGCAAAGCAAAACATGTGCAAGGGCAAGAGAGGAGGGGAGGCACTCAAGCTACAAATGGAAACACGGAGCCCAAGAGACCCCGCTGCTGCGCCACTCACACACAGCCTGGGCCGCCCGGGCAGCTGGCACCTACTCCTTATCAAGTCCCAGACAGGAGCAAAGCTACACTCAGGCTCTTGTCCACGCCTGCACCCTTTCCTCCCAGCACCCTTCCCGGGCCCCTGCGCAGCAACAGATCAGGGCAGTCCCTTCTTCTCCTGCGGTCTCTGCTCCCTGCCCAGCCCTGTGGAGAGTGTGTACTGATGCTGGGGTAGGTCAGGACGACAGTTTTGCCAGGCTGGATTTCACAGCCAGCCGCCCATTGCTCTGTGCAAGTGCACCTGTACCAGTTACCCTAGCCGGGACCAGCAGGGTGCCGCCCAGCACAGACCCTGTCTTGATGGGGCAGCTGTAAGTGCCTCCTCCTCACCTGGCTGTGACAGATGAGCTGGGACTCAGGGTGTGGAAGGAGGGGAGGAGTGTGCCTCGTGTGGTGTGAGAACGTCTCTCTGGGGTGGAAGTGGGGACACAGGAGCGCTGCTTGACTCCTCTGTCCTGGAGCTGGCTGCCCAGCTGGACACGGGGCTGTACAGACCGAGGCTGCCCAGTTCCACACCCCAACGTACCCCCCACTTCCCTGCTCCCCATGACACTGGCTCCTTGGAAGAATCTCCAGCTGCCTTGCTCCCATTCTCCACTGCGCCCCCTGCAGTCAGGTATCTGCCCTGCAGCTCCCACGGGAGGTCAGATCCCAGGGACACATGGGATCCCATCTCACACGTGACCCAGCAGTGCCCCCTTCTTGTCCCTCTTTCCAGCGATCCCTTCTCCCAGACACTCCTCTTCTTCTCGCTTTCCTCCGCCTCATCTCAGAGCACCTCCACCACACTTTTATTTTGAAAGATTTATTTACGTATTTGAAAGCCAAAGTTACAGAGGGGCCGGGAAGAGAAATCCTCGATCCAACTGAGTCATTTCCCAAATGGCAGCCCCAGCTACAGCTGGGCCAATCCAAAGCCAGGTCACTGCACGGGTGGCAAGGGCCCAAGGACTTGAGTCTCTTCCACTGCCTTCCCTGGTATAACAGCAGGAAGCTAGCTGGGAGGTGGAGCAGCTGGCACTCAAACAGGTGCCAGTATTGAGATGTCAGCATCGCAAGGAGGAAGGCTTTACCTGCTATGCCACATCACCAGCCCCGTTCCACACTTTTGAATGTCAGGATGGCCCTAGGTTCAGACCTCACTTCTACCTGCCACCCTCCCTGGACAAACTAATCCAAAAGGTGATTTTTAGCATCCTTCGTGGCGACATCCGATGTTCCCTTGACCTCCAGTCTCTGGCCAATCTGCCGTCTCGCGCCTTCCCCCATGACCCACTGAGCATCTAGCAGGTCCCGCCCAAACTCCTGGTCACCAACCCAGCAGAAACACAGCCTACTACCCCGCCTTCCTGCCTC